TAGCTCATATCTCTATCTTTTTAATATTCGATACAGCTTCTACAGCAACAGATCGATCGCCATGGGCAAGCGGTGGTACAAAACCGACCGCGCGCAAGACTTTGATCATGAACAGGTATAGCTTCAAATGCAGTTACGAGAAGAAGTCTTGAGGCTGACCTAGAATCTCTACTTGCGAACAGGATCGTCAGGTTCGGATGCGCCAGGTTTATGAGACCATCGATCGACAAGCATTCCAATGGATCGTCGTCTTTGTCGCCGGTGTCGGCTTCTTCCTCGACGGCTACACAGTATGTCTCTTCTTTCGATACCCCAGGGTAAATTGTCACTAATGGCATTTGTTCCAGCTCTTTGCAAGCAACATGGCCTTCCCGATGATCTCCTATGTCTACTGGCGTGACCAACTATCGTCTATGCATGTCACCTGCATTAATATTGCTACACTTGCCGGCACACTCTTTGGGCAGGTTTTATTTGGGTACTTGGCAGATCGTTACGGACGGAAAAAGATGTACGGGCTGGAGCTGATTCTGATGATCACATCCACCCTGGGGGTCGTGATGGCCTCCCGGGGCGAGAACGGCAGCATGAGCGTCTACGCATGGTTGCTATGGTGGCGAATCATTGTTGGGATTGGGGTAGGAGCCGACTATCCACTGAGCGCGGTCATTACGTCTGAGTATGTGTTCTCACTGTTATATCAGCTCTGCCTACTGCGTGCGACCATACTAACAGGCGGGCAGGTTTGCGCCGACCAAGCACCGCGCACGCATGATGGCTTCGGTTTTCTTCATGCAGCCTCTTGGACAGATTGCCGGGAACATCATCGCCATCATAATTATCACTATCAGTCGCAAGCAAGGCACCGCGGATCTCACTCGCACGGTCGACATCATGTGGCGCTGGGTTATCGGCATCGGAGTCATCCCGGGCGCCATTGCGACCTTGTTTCGTTTCGTAATCCCGGAGTCTCCTCGTTTCGTGCTCGAGATCGATGACGACCCTGTTCAGGCTGAGTTCGATGCCACCACTTTGTTCGACGACTTCCACGCCAGCTCCCCATCCACATTGACTGGCTCTTCTCCATTCGGCGGGGACTCTGCAAGCTGGCACAACTTTTCAGTTCCCGGCATCTCACTCACGACGATCACCGCTGGGGAGAATGACGAAGAAGACGACGATGATCATGAAACTCAGCGCTCTCCCTCCCAGGTCGAGATCCTGCAACCTGCCACTCTGAACTCCCACTGGCACCTGACTCGCCGGGATATCCGCCAGTATTTCTGGATTGAAGGCAACTGGCGTACTCTCGCTGCCACCAGTCTTGCCTGGTTCTTCCTGGATTTCAGCTTCTACGGGATCAGTCTCTCTAGTCCGCAGTTCCTGGCCAAAACCTGGGGCTCCCTCCATCTCGATTCCTCCGCCCCTTACTGGAAAACCGACGACCGCCCCGGTGCCAGTGTTTACAACATGCTCCTCGCCAGCTCCACCCACGCACTCGTTATTCTCAACAGCGGCAGTTTCCTCGGTGGGATCCTTCTCATCATGCTGATTCACAAGCTCGACCGCACTGCCTTACAGAAATACATGTTCCTCGCGCTGGCCGCGCTTTTCATCGCCCTCGGCACCATGTACATCACCGTGCACCAAGAAGGAGCCTCCGCCATAACCCTCTACATCATCGGCCAAACCTTCTTCAACTTCGGTAGGACTCGGTCTTCATTCCATCTTCCCAGCCACCCACTCTTCCATTTCCCCAACAACATGAACCCACCACTCGTCCCAAATGCAAACCCACCACGCTAATAACCAAACCCACAGGCCCCAACGCAACCACGTACATCATCCCCGCCGAGATCTTCCCGACGCGCTACCGCGCCACCTGCCACGGCATCAGCGCCGGCGCCGGCAAGCTCGGCTCCATCCTCGTCCAGGTGTTCTCAGCGTACTACAACTTCGGCACCGGCGAGGGCGACGGCCCGACCATCCGCCACGGCTGGATCCTGATCCTGTTCAGCGTGTGCATGATCCTCGGCGCCGCCGTCACCCACTTCTGGATCCCGCCCGTGCAGCGCGGCGCCACCTCCTCCTCTGACTCATCAGCATCGTCGTCGCGCGGAAAGCTCTGGGGTGGCCGCACCGAGACCCTGGAGACGTTGGCGCTGGGCCGGTGCGGGTGGAAGAGTCGGTATGCGGCCAAGGCGGCGGGTCTGGGTGGGTCGGCGGATGTTCCCAGGAATCGGATCCGTGTGCGCCAAAGGGTGGTTGTCACGTAGGTAGGTGTTTGGGGTTGGCTTTCGCCGATCATGTCTTCTTTTCCTTGTCTCGAGACACTCCTTACTCTCTCTTTCTGTTTCTGTTCTTGTACATACTTACTCATACCCCGATGTTTGGAGATTTAAGGACATACTTGTACTTTTGCTTTGTTGTGCTGTACAGCGCACTTGGATCTGGAGATAGTGTGTAATCAAGCTACATTCTCACACCATGAATACCTACACTCACTCCACTACTCCCCAATTCAGTATCAAGAATAATGAAGAAATGAAAATGGTATTTTCAAGAGTATAAGGAAAAAAAGTATCTCCAGCATAAATATCTCCACCCTTTCCCTTTCCCCGCGGTCAAAACGAAGGAAAGGTGATTAAACACTAAGTAATACAACTATAGTACTCAAGAACAAGATAATCTACCACTTGAAGAGGTCCCAGTTTCAGACCGTTGGGGCAAGCTTAGTTGTTCTCGACGTGGAAGTTGTTGTTGACCTGCCCGGCGGCGTGGTCCTGCGTTGACCCGGAGGCCCCCTTGCTGGTGTTGTCGTAGGAGGAGTAATCGTAGTCGTCCACGTGGTGCTCATGCTCGTTGACGCCGGAGTTATGGTTTTCGTAGACGTTGAAGTTGCTGCTGTGGTCCTTCTCCTGCGCGGCGTCGTGGTGGAGGTCGAGCTCGCTGGCTGGGGCGGGGGCGGGAGCGGCAGGGGCAGGGTGCGAAGCGGGAGCAGGCGCGGGAGCAGGCGCGGGAGCCGGAGCGGGGGCCGGAGCCGGAGCCGGTGCCGGGGCGGGAGCAGGAGCAGGAGCAGGAGCAGGAGCAGGAGCAGGAGCAGGAGCCGGGGCTGGGGCGGGAGCATGCTTTTGGGCGGGAGGGTAGGCGATCATGTTGTTGTCGCCGTCGATGTCATGGTCGCCGGACACGCCGCCGATGTTGACGGGCGCGCCACGGCGGCTTGCGGCATGACCGACTTCGGGGACCTTGGCCGCGGGGACATTGGCGGCAGGGACCTTGGCCGCTGGGGGGTTGACGATTTGTGCCCCGTCGGGGACGCTGCTGTGGGTGTCGGGAAGGCTGGCGTGGGTGTCAGGAACGCTGCTGTGGGTGTCGGGAATGCTGCTGTGGGTGTCGGGGGTCTTGACGCCATCGGCAAGGGCGCCAGGGATGGCGGGGATGTCTTCAAAACCGTCAGTTTCTCAGTCCTAGAAGATATGTGGTGGTGGTACGGCGGTTTACATACTATTCAGAGGAGCGGCAGCAACCATGCCAGCAGCGGCGAGGAGAGACAAAAGAGCGGAGGTCTTCATCTTGAAGAGTTGGAATTTGAGGTGAGCGATTGAGGTTGGTAGAAAGGAGTGGAAGGAGAAGCTGACTTGATGCTGATGAGAAAGAGATGGTTGTTGTGGATTTGACGGCGACTTTATACGTTTCTTTCCATGAGGTAGCTCGGGTTGGGCTCAACTGTGACATGTAGGTATGATGGGTCTACTCTGCGTGAATTAGCGAAGGCTATCGTGTGCTCATGACCAGGAGCAGTGATCATGATCTGCCATTGTAGTGGAGGGTAGGGGGATGTGCATTGGTCCTCCAGATGCAGAGTCCATGCTCTTGCAGGGATGAACTCCTCGATGCTCGCATTCCCCTGGCATATTTGACAGGTCCCATGTTCGAGGCCATCGATCCCGATCTGACCTATTCAAACAAGTCAATGATTCTGCCATGATCATCGACTTAGCCTTTTGCGAGTGATTTGGATGGTTTACCCCTGACCAAATCTGGAATGTCTGACGCTGGTGTTCTTTGCAAGTGTTCAGCCAGGGTCTGGATCCCGCAAGGGATGCCGCCACTGCACCGATCCGAGGACACGGTGCATGAACCCCTGCCGATATCTACCCTTTTCGGGAGTGCCCGTGAGAGCTGTCATACTCCACACTCAATAGCCGCACTGTCTCTATGCAGGTGCCTGGGTGTTCGGTTGTTCAGCCGATGGCGTGGCGGCGTTAATAGGAAGTACTGTACGTATTTTGAGTTCAACCAGGTCATGAACGGATTGAACACTACACAACGGTAGTGTACGAGTTGCCATGCGAGACGAGACATCCGACTCGAAGGTGTTGATTTGACAAGCTTTGGTGGATGGAAGAGGGGGTTCGAAAAGAAGATCGTCAGGTATGAGAGGAGTCATGGCCGTGTTCTGAAATTCGAAGTCTTCGGCCAGGGGCTCGATTCTCCTGTAAGCAGCACCGCACCTGGTGATCAAATGTGAGCCATGCAATGGAAGCCCGCAGGATCGGTCAAGTGCCGGGCAATATTGTGACAGTGGTCGAAGGAGACAGTGGTCGAAGGAGAAAAGGAAGCGTCTTTTCGAGTTGATGGATGAATCACGGAGGATGACGGATGGTTATGGTGGTTGCCTCGTAGGGAACAAGTGGATGGGGCCTCAGGCAGCAGGGCAGCCCAGTAGGATGAAGTTTCCTCTTACTGAAAAGTGCTTTGAATCATTTCATGCAACGACCAGGTATCCCAGTCACGCATGAACAAGTCATCATTTGTCTGCTCTGATGTAAGTTACATCATCTGAATCACAACCTTCAAGTGTAAATACATGAAGATACACTGATTGCCACATCAGTTTTTGAATCCCCCTTCTGATAATTCACTTCTCCCCTCCCACACTTCTTACTTTTCAGCTAGATTCCGCGATAGTTCAGACTGGAGCCCTCCGAGACATTTCAGGTACTGTCCAGCGTGCCAAACCCGTCATGTCGAACACTAAAGGTCTCCCTGATACGAATCCTCCTGGGAGGCCATATTTCTCTAAGAGTACGTGGACTCCCAGTCCGAGCGGCTTCGATGCCGGCTAGATTAGCGTACGCGACACTATGCCGGAACCCACCATCGTCGTAGTCCGGGATCGCAGGCTTACGGGCTGCCTCTTCATCGTCGCTCAAGGGAGGGAAATCCTCATGTGTGTTGGACGGGGTAAGAGGGACAGAATCCTGGAGCCGGGCACTTCCTCCGATGGTGTAGAGGGCGATTTTGTTGTTGCCGGAGGGATACGTCTGACTTGAACCTCTCTTGGACCTGACGAACCGAGTCCAGAGAAGCTGGATCAGGGGTGGAAAGGACGGCATGCACGCAGCGAGGAAGTACACCCCGGGCTCAATCTCAGTCCACATGTGCAGAGACGACGCCTTCCAAGTATCGTCCCGACGTTCTGTGTCGCTGTAAAAAATCGCAAACCGGCAGCAGGAGGTAATAAGGCCTCTAAGAAAGCGAAGTTTGAATGGCAGATTAGCCCCCGAGTCAACGGTAAGCACCAACTGTACGATGCTGCAAAGGCATAACAAGGGAATATGTACTTACATTCCGCCAGTCGCAAATATGATCCCGAGCCCGATCTTCTGGTGGCACGAGGTGTGCAACCGATAGACCATGGGGAGAGGCAGGACCAGCATGACAACGTCCGTGACGATATTGGGGAAGGACATCCAACGATAGAATGCCTTTGTATCGAAACACTGACCTGTTGCCGGCTTGAATGGGTTCAACTGATATCCCACGGGTATGCATGCAAAAGTGTGAGCCAAAGAAATGGCAACATAGGTCGACGCGATGATAGCCATGAGGACGTAGGTGACAGTTCGTTCGTTCCGAGACTTGAAGAAGCGAAGGTAGAAAGCGAGGATTGCCAGCTTGGGCAGAGCTATCGCCAAGCCCCAGACCCAGATCCCAGCGAAGATGCCTCTCTGGAACTGAACGAGTTTCCATGGCGCTTCCGTCAAGATCTTGTCGATGTGATACCCAACGCCGGCAACAGGGATCATCACTGCGCAACGCGTTAGATATCACGGAATCTCGACTCAATCAGCCTCTTATTTCCAAGAGAGAAAACGTCAACAGAAGTGAGATCATAAAATTTACAGTGATCAGCCCGGATAGAAAACGGCATACTTGCCTATTCCTGTGATGCAAACACACAGATTGGCCAGAAGGGCTGGAACCATGAGCCAGTCATCCACACCCCAGTTTCTTCTCTGTCTCTTATGGGCCCAGAACCGGACCCCCGCGAAGACAAGCTCCAAGACAATGAACGAAACCGCAGTGCCGATCAGTTGACCACCGCAGTACTCGTTCAAGTATCCCAGAGGATGCTGCTCGATGAGAGTTGACATGGTGCGATGATAGAGAGTAGCGTGTGCAATCAAGTGAGCGAACGATCTGCAATCTGCACTTTGGTTGCAAGGTCGCGTTGTCCCATCGATGGAGAAGACAGGAAGTAAAGGTGAGGGTGTGTTCCTCCAGGTGGGGAGAAGTCATCGACAGAGTAAAGACCCACTTAAGCGAGACTTCACTTCACCTGAGACTTTGTGGTTGAGGTAGCAGAATCTTTGTGTGTTACTTTCACCAGCTTTAGTATGCTGTTACCAAATAGCCTCACAAATGTGTACGTCACCGGCCCTGAGTTGATAGATTGACCATCGAGATTCAAGAGTAATTAAACAGCCAATCAAAGATAAGCGTCTAATCACGTAGCCTACTGTGTTTCTGCTCACTACACTCAAAACACAAACAACCGCACCCAGCATCAAAAGCCTTGAAGGTGAAGGCCCAACATATCTCAGTGAAGACAGACCCAGCAAGAGCTCAATCCAGCACTCACCCATGTGATATCAATATAACCAGATACCTGTTCACATATATACAGTACATCCCTATCAACATCTAGCAACCCTTTGTATATACAAGCCATCCTACCTCCATCCCCCAAACCCCATATACACAGCACAGCACAGCACACTAAACCCAACCCAGAGCCCACCATCTACCCCAGCCCCACGCCCACCACCAACTTCCTCATAAAATCCGCCTCGAGAACCACCTCCTCCCCCTCCGGCGTCCAGTCCGTATACCGCGGCTCCGTCTTCCACCGCACATACTCCATCCTCTCATACCACTCCGCGACCGGCAGGCCGCCCTCGCCGCGGATGCGCTCGATCCAGCGCCGCCGCCCGGGGTCCGCGTAGTACGCTTTGCTGACGGCGTTGAGGGTCACGTACCGGCAGCGCGGGTCGCAGCGCGCCCGCTCCTCGACCAGCGCCATCGCGCGCCGGCCCAGCCCGCCCTCCCGGTGCGCCGGGAGGATGAAGAACGACTGGATGGTGAGGTTGGTGCCGTCGGCGGTGGCCAGGTCCGGGTCTGGCGGGTGGGCGTAGGCGTCGAGGGAGATGTGGCCTGCGTGGATTGGTGCCACCGCAGTATCCTGGCGGCTGCTGCTGCTGCTGAAGTTGCTATTGTCGCTGCTGGTGGTGGAGGTGGAGGTAGAGGCGGAGGTGCAGACGGAAGGGGGGACGATGTCGATCCAGAAGAAGGATTTGAGGCCCGCGTCTTGTTTGGCGCGCCAGGCGAGGAGGGCTTCGTCGGTTTGGTCCCAGCCGCAGATTGTGCGCTGGTGTTGGAGGGCGGCGTAGTCGGTGGGTTCGTGGAGATTGATTGGGGTGAGGGTGATGGTTGTGGTGGAGTTTGGCATGGTTGGTGGTGAGGTTGCTTGGTTCATGTTGCGGTGATGGGGTGGTAGGAAACGGGACTGGGTGTGTATTGTGAAGATTTGCTTGGTATCACTTGGAGCAATGCTATTCTTCAAATTATCCTCTTTATTTTTTACAGAAGAGTGGGAGTGGTTGCAAGAGGATATATAATGAGTCAGCCTGCATTATATCTCCAGATTTATCTAGATGGATGAGTCACTTTGCTGGGCGGTTCAGGTTCTACGGACCCTCCACTTATACAACGCTATGTATCTCGACCAGCAAAACGAAGTAGTTTGAGTTGACTATGTGTTTGAATAGATCAAATAAATTGACCCAAATGTCTTCCAATTACAGACAGGTACGGAGTAAACAAAGACCGACAAGGCACCCAGGCATCGAAGCTTATCGGACACCCGATGAGCTACACCTTATCGTGAAGCTTATCAGATCCGTCCACCGGCCAAAAAAGCTACCACAATTCTGTCCGAGCAATAAAACTCGTGACTCCCAACTCCATTAACTCCGACATTAATGTACAGGATTAAACCATTTCCCAATCCCAGTATATATATACTTCGACATCGCAAAATCACGCAAACACCCCCAACCCCACCAACCCACCGAGCAACGGCAGCACCGACCGGGCGGCATTCAGCCAGGTCCACTTCCATAGCAGGCCTTCGACCTCCGCGTCCGCCTCGGGGGTCCACTCCGCCTCGGTCTTGACCTTGGCCCACTGCGACAGCCGATCGTTGGTCTTTTTCATCACCAGGAGGGTGAACGGCACGATCCCCAGCGTCAACCCCGCCGCGAGGCCATAGACCTTGGAGCTGTGGCGCGCGGTGATCAGGCTCAGCGGGGTGCTCTCGCGCACGCTCCAGGCCAGGTACAGGAAGGTGGAGGCGGTGCTGAGGGCGATGAGCGGGGCGCGCTGCGCGCCGTACGTGTAGATGGTGCGCCACTGCTTGACGACGGTCGAGAGAGGAATCTTCTCCGTGTGGTGGGCTTCGATCAGCGGGGGGACTCCCATGAGGCTTAGGGAGAAGATGTTGCCTGTTTTTGTGGAAGGGGGTCCGGGATTAGTGGTCTGGTTGTGACACTGGGGGGGGAGTAGGGGGGTCGGTGTAACTTACCGGATAGCCAGGCGGCGCCGGTTAGGCCTACGGCCTGGGCGATTGCAAAGCTGGGGGTTGAGGTGCTCATTCTGTCGGTGCGTCCTGTCTGCCAGAGAGATGGTTTTTGGTGATGAGGGAAAAGTTAAGGGGAAAGAGGGATGGGGTAGCAGAAGATGTCGGTGCCTTTATAGCTGACAACACCAGTAATCCATGACGACATGCTCAAACCTTATGATTCCGACATGAGCAGAAAATGAAGAAAAGCTTCTCCTGCAAGGGTGGGACCATTGTAAGCAGATGCAGTGTTTGAAATGTCTAGGACTCCTTCAATTGCGATCTAGGAATATGATTGAGTGAAATGATGGCTGGTTGTGGTGTCGGAAGGATTTAGCTTGCGTGGGCGTGGCTGGCTCGGGCTTTGCGGAGTTTGGACCGGGTTTTGCGTTGTCCGACAGAACAATCTCAATTTCTGGAGGTTTCCCGCATGTAAACAACACACATTTGCTAGGTGGATCGGGCTGCGGTTGACAGAAGCTTTTATCCGTGGAGGAAGAAAAGACACAGGTAGAACTGGTCGGCCGTGCGTGGAGGCTGGAGCTCTTATGTTTTGCGCTCTCTTCAACACAGTTGAGCACTTCCCAGTCCCCACCGGCCATACAACGACAGCCACCAAGACAGAAGATCTACACACACTAGGCTGAGAACCAGTACCAGGTATCTTAGAAGCATTCCACTTTTGTTGATTCTCATACAAGTTTCCGTTCTGGCCATCGAATGGCATTAGAAGCGATCGCTTACAAGAACACATCCAAACGTCTTTCGAACCTCTTCTCAACAGCTACTGGAACCACTGAAGGCTTACTGGAAAATAAACAAATGTGCAGACAAATGCCTGTCGTTTGCTTTCGAGATTTACTTTGTCTCTTTTTTCTTGACCTATCTCAACACGAGCGCCAGGAACGGATAAACAACCCCGGCTGATATTCCGGCCAGGGAATGCGGGGATGGGATGCAAGGATACGAAGATGTGTGACAGGAGTGACAACAGTGAATCAACCTCTTCTTCTTTTCAACTTCAAGGATTGGCACAATGGTACAGTTCATGACACATTTTACCTCATCAAACAATCTTTACTTACCCTTCTTCTAGCATCCTCTACCACGCCTCGCCAGCCGACTTCCCCTCCCAGGGGTCGCGACGCTGCTTCGCCCGCTCAGACTCCGAAACATGGCTACCGCGTCACCTACAAGGGCCCCACGAAGAGTCCAAGCCCGATCACCGTCAAAAGCTTTCTTTGCAGCTCCCTCTGAACCCACGAGACACCGACACCCTCATCATTCAAAACGATACTCCCTCTGACACAGAATGGGCCCTCCTGGGCCTTCACTTTCTCCTGATTCGCAACCTTGAGATACATACAGGGTATAACGAAGAGCTGAATGACAGGCACATCCCCCCTCACCGGCCCCTCTCGTGACTGCTCATCAGCTCCGCTTCCGGAACTATCACTCAAACCCCATTCATCCGCCAGGGACGCGTCTCTCATCTGATCCTCGACTACACCAGCGGCCTCCGTTTCGAGGGTCCAGACAATCAGGAGCTGCAAGATAGACACAAGGAGGCTATTGCCCGTGGGGAGGCCGAGTCGGAATATATTACGGTACACAAGGGCACTCCTGAAGAGAGGAAGGTTGAGATTGTCTTCCTTCCTCTGTTAGCCATGGCCTGGTTGGACGCGAAATACGGAGGGCCAAACTTCAACGAGCTCGACCCAGACAACGCACCACCGACGCAGCACGAGGTCAACCTTCAAACGCTGGAGATCGTCGAGAACGATGCTATGTGCACTTTTGCCCGCATGACCCTGGCCCTGCCGCATGTTGTCCGGAACACCTCCGCGCTGCACCTCAGCTCCACGAACGGTTGTTGCGAGTTTCAGCAAACCAACGAGAAGATGTTTGTGCAGTTTTTACCACAGATGGAAAACCTGAGGACATTGCAACTCTCGGTCGGGGAGGTGTTCCGTGATGAGTCCCACCTACACGCCTTATACAGGCTGTTCCCGCGGACTCTAACGACGTTGCGCCTGCGCGGGCCGGCGATGCTGACGCAGAGTGATCGCTGGAAGGAGTGGGAGGAGGCATTCGCATCGAGAACCTTTCTACCAGAGTTGAAGAGGTTGTCGATTCAGATGGATCTTTGTTACAAGAATAGAGACAGTGGATCGGCCGGTTGGCCTCTAAAAGAGTGGACTGAGCTCCCAGAAGAAATACGCCTCGCCGCAAACGCCGCGTGTGAGCGACTCGGCGCCCTTGCTCGCAGCCGAGGGGTCAATGTAGAGGAGATGGAAGATTGGGAGAGACTCCGGGGGGGAGTTCCGACTCCCGCGGGAAGCAGCAGGATTCAGGGGGCGGTGTTCAACCACGGGCTCGGTTGTGCTTACATTGCTTATGCTGTCGCTGCTTACTAGATGTTGTTGACGGTTGTTGGGAGATGTGTAGGATTAGATGAAGGAAAGAATGATACCCCACTCTTGATTTGTCGCAGTTCCGTTGTTCAGGGTCAAAGAACCTAGGGATCAGTAATTGATCGTACTCGTATCTTTTGGGAGAGAACCGTTCCTGACAACCAAGAAAATCCCAAGAATCCACGGAACGGAGCAGGCAACGGGCTCGGTCGTATCCGTATCCCGATACCAAAAAGGTCAGTCCGGCAGCGGGGCTTACGATCTCCGATTCAGCCCAGCGGAGCTAAAGTGTTTTAGTGTTCAGTCGAGTCCTTCTCGGCCGCTGGAACCCCCCGTTTGACCTCCGTTACGTACGTAAGAGAGACTAAGAGTAGCCCCCAAAAAAAGAATCCCGTTCTTGGCTGGCCCAGTTGTACCACTTGCACCAGTCGCACCAGTCAAATCAGCTGCACTAGGCGTTAGGAGAAATATGGAAAAAAAAAAGAAAGAAAAAAGAAGCATTGCAGAGATAGTCGCAGGATTTGCGACTACAGTCGGTCAAACAGCCCCGACCGCGCAATGACCGTGCGGAGCAGGGCTGAAGGTACGAATACGATGACAGCGACAGCGACAGCGACGTGGATGATCGTGGACTTTAAAGTCTTTAAAGTCTCCCAGCTGCTCCTGAAGACTTAGTTTGATTATCAACACTCACAAGTGACACTGGCAGTGACACCGGCATCAACCGCCCTAAACAACCATGAGCGTCACTGATAGCGACACGGAGAGTACCGTCTCCAGCCAATCCAGGTACGGAGGATATACTGCATATTGCAACCTTAACCACTTACCTAAAACCACATCTCTAACGCAGCTCCAACCAGCAGGCCTACCACAGCGAAGACCACCAAATCGCCATCCCAGGTCTTCCCCTTCGCGCACCCACCGCCCAAATCGACCTCGTGCTTCCGCTTCACCTCGCGCCTCCTGCTCCAGATCCAACAGCTCCTCTCCGCCTCGCGCGCGCTTCCCATTCTCGAGATCTACCGCCCCTCCAGCCTCGGCAAGTCGATCCCCGGCTGTCCCAGCAAAGTACACAGCCAGGACCTGTACGTCGTCCAAAGCGACGCCTACCAGAATCTGCCTGCATCATGCAGCCAAAGTCCCAGCACCGACAGCCCGGTAGTAGGAGTGATATACACCAACAACTGCAGCAGCAACAAAACCACTAGCGCCGCGACTAGCAGCAGCAGCAGCAGCGGCAGCTCCACCGACCACAAACCCGCATCCTCCCCCTCATCAACATCATCATCAACATCACCAACAACAAAATCACCCCCCAACAACAGCAGCAACAATAACAACGCAATCTACCTCCCCCAACTCCAACTCACCCTCCTCGCCTCCCGCACCTCCCGCGGAGGCTACATCTTCCAACTCCTCCCCTCATCCTCCTCCTCTCCAAGAACCACTCAAAAACTCACCCTCGAACTCGCCAAGAAAAAACCCAAACACAAAACCCCCCCGCCAAGATCATCGGCAACAACGCGGACCCATCGGTCTTCGGCGTCCACCACCCCCGACGACGACGACAACGACGACGAAGAATGTGACAGCGTTGAGCCAAAAAACCACGACCCGGCAAGTTTCCTCCTCGGCATTCGGGGTAGCACCACTAGTACCACAAGTACTAGCCCCGTCGATCCAAACTCAGGTGATTCCGCCCGGCGCAGCCCCCGGCGGCCCTGGCTGGCCGGGCTCTCGCACAAGGGGATCAAGGTCCTGCGCGGGGAGCAGCAGGACCAGCTGCGGCGGCGGGTGCTGGCCGCCGTCGGGGTGGGCGAGGAGCGCGTCGATGTGCTCTACACGATTACCTTGCTGGTGGGGATCTATGCGGCGAGGATGGAGGGGTGGGTTTGATTTTTTTTTTTTTGTATTTTGTGTCCATTTTCTGTGTTGTTGGTAACTTAGAGGTCGAGTTACTCGATTAGCTGCTTCCTAGATTATTTGGTATGGTCCGGGGTTCATCATTAAACTTTAGCTTGGAGTTGTTAGGTGTTGGTGTTTGGTGATCGTCGGTGTTTGTATTTTGGGGAAGTCAAAGGGTCAGCTGGGCCAGGCCAGGTGTCCAGGTTCAGGGTCAGGGTCAAGGACTCTTGCTTTGTACGGTACGTCGATGATATCCAAATCGAGTCAATTTTGGCTTTGGGAAAGATGATAGTGTCATGGAAACTTTCTTTGTCTTTTCTCCGAGAAAGGGAAATGAGTACGGAGTACCTAGACTGAGAACGAACCCGGAGAATCGTTAGTTACTCGTAAGAAGTTCTGGCCCGCCCGCCCGTCTCCGCGTGATGGTGTTGGTTCTCCGGCGTACGGCGACCGGTCCCGAGGCCCGTTTGCTTTCCGCTTAGTACTTACCAGTCTGCTAGTCTCTGCAAATAATAATGATGCACAAGGGTCCGTTCCGCCTTGCGGGGCTTAATCTAAGGGGGGTTTTATCCGGTTGAGGGATTTACAGTGCGCATTCATACAGTGCTCATTTTTTATGCCTTATGCATAAATACAGTACACAAACTCTCTCTCTCTCTCTCTCTTGAAATGCCTTGCATGATGGATTCGATCGTGCTCCTCCGAGAGAACTAACTAAGTTACGCTTTAATTTGCCCTTTCTTCTCCTATCCAGCTTCCGAGGTATCCCCCGAAACAACCCGCCTTGCACAACGCACCTACTTCGCAACCCCCACCTCCAAAGCCAGAATCTGCAACGCCAACGTCCTCGAGAAATACCGACATAGCGCTAGATTCCCGCCCATGAACCACAGGCCCGGGTGGCCGCTGCGGCGCCAGATGGTGCGCATCTCTCCCTCGGCGTCCATGCCCCAGACGTCGCCGACGCGGTCGGCGACCGCGTCCCCGAAGATCTGGCGGGCCTGGGTGCGCATGTTCTGGTAGCCGGTGGCGAGGACGATCTCGTCGGCGGGGAGCTCGGAGCCGTCGGCGAAGCGCAGGCCGTGCGGCAGGACCTCGGCGATCTCCTGGCCGTGCTTGACCTTGATCTTGCCGTCGGCGATGAGCTGGCTGGCGCCGACGTCGATATAGTAGCCGCCGCCGCGCTGGAAGTACTTCATGATCAGGCCGGCGCCCGCGGGGCCGTCATCCACCTGGAACCCGGCGCGCGCGAGGCCGTCGAGGACGGCGCGGTCGTGCGCGGTCTGCGCCCGCGTGATCTTGATCTGTTGGGCTTTGAAGACCTCCCAGGGGATACTCCAGAGGTAGAGCTCGGCGTCCTCGGTGGGCGGGCCGTCCTCGTCGAAGAGGCCCTTCAGGCCAATGTCTGTGATGGACGCGGAAGAGACCACGCAGGTCGAGCTGCGTTGCACGATGGTCACGTCGTAGCCCTTCTCGTAGTAGTCCTGCGCGATGTCGTGGCCCGAGTTGCAGGCGCCCACGACCACGGCCTTTTTCGTTCCGCTCAGGTCGCTGGCGCCAGGAAATTCGCTGCTGTGGCAGAGACGGTCGCCCTGGAAGGTCTCCATGCCCTTGAAGGTGGGCATCGCCTTCTTGCCGGAGTGGCCGGTTGCTTGGATCACGTGGCGGGGCTGCAGCGTGCGGGTTTCGGTGGTGCTTCCGTCCTCGCTGCGGCGCTGCAGGTCGATCGTCCAGCGGCCGTCGGCCTCGCTCCACGAGGTGGATTGCACGCTGGTCCGCGTCCATACGTTGAGCTCCAAAAGCTTGACGTAGCATTCCAGAAACTCCGCGAATTTGTCCTTGGGCGTGAAGACCGGCCAGCCGGGTGGGAAAGGCACGTACGGGAGATGGTCCATCCACACGGGGTCGTGGAGCACCAGCTGGTGGTATCGCTTGCGCCAGTTGTCGCCCACGCGGTCCGCCTCGTCGACTATCAGGCTGTCGACACCCAGCATTTTCAGCCGGGCGGCCAGGGTGAGGCCGGCTTGTCCGGCACCTGATGATGATGTTCGTCAGGGGCATATTCACGATGTCCTCAGATGGTGGAATAATGCTTACCGATGATCAAGACCGCCGGAGGCTCGCCTTCCAGGTTGCGCTCTGCGTTCCGCCTGTCCTGCCAATTCCGTCGATCTTTGGTCGCGCCATGCTGTGCTCCTAAGGGCCGGCGATGACCGACTCTCTCCTCGTGGCCAACCAGATCTCGGAGAGATGTGAAAAAGGTGAAGATTTTCCATTCGCTCTTGACTTCGGCAACACGCACGACACCCGTCCCGCTGATGACGGGGCTGGAGACCTTGATGAAGAACTCCACGCCTTGCACATCTCCGAACGCGTCAATCGCGCCCACGTGCGGTGTGCGCAGAGCGGTCGATCGATCGACCTCGATCTTGGTCGGCAGCTGTGCGGATTTGAGGAGCGCCTGGATTCGTTCCGGACCTTTGGCGGTGCGATAGTCCCACGTCAGACAGAGATGGTCCCGCCAGTAGCCGTCTTCCAGGAACAAACTGCTGATGGCCTCGATGTCCCCTTTGCTGAGGGCTGTGTTGATCGTGTCCACCAGCTGGGAGGCGATAGCTTCGGGGTCGACATCGGTGGATGTAAGGGTCAGAGGGAACTGCCCGACGGGGATGTCGACCGAGCCAGGCAGGTACTGGGCTGAAGCGGCGGCCATGGTGAATTGGTGTGTCTGTCCCTGTTATGCTCTGGGAGGGGAGAGCTGGTTCAAGTTGTTGTGTAGCTGGCTACAGAAAAAGCGGGGGAAGTCACGGAGGAGCTTTTCCGGTGTCGGGGAGAAATGAGGGGGGAGAAAAGCCATTTAAGTCATAGACATCAGAAGCTGAACCCCGCTCCAGACTTTGCCGAGCAGCTAGTCTGCTGAAAAGTTGCAAGCCACGTATCCATTGCTAACCCTTTTGTCACACCAAGCTGCACTTTTGGCTCGTCTTAGAGGTGGAGGGGGCGGAGACACCCCCACGGTTCCACCTGCTTGCCGATCGTCGACATGGGGAACAATGCTCTTGTTGTCACCCGAGGAACTGGCGACCGCCGGTTTTCTTACGTCGAATGCAGCTGCAGTTATTGAGAGACTCACTCCATTGACCACACCGGTAAAACACAGGATAGATTAATTGCGGATTAGCAGCGGGGCATGAATCTCGATCGCGCTAGTCCGCTCGATAGCGCCAATGGGTCAGTTGCAGTACAGTAGTACTGCAGACTCAGCAAGGGATAGAGTAGTGTCGCCTCATTTACAGGAAGACAGCTTATCCGCTCGTGAGGAGCATAGTTGAGCAGTGGGGGGAAGAGAAAGAATAACTAATCATTGAATTTAAAAGCCCCTCACGCGGATTCGACACGGAGCGCATGATGTTGGTCACGTGATTTGCAATGGTCTCGGTGCCTTGAATACCCGCTACCTACGGAGAACACATAGTAGTCTGCATAGTTCTTGGCGGTGCTATTGGAGAATCAAGATACCTACAGGCATCACCCGTGCTGCAGTGACAGGAGGGTGGTGAGATTTATCACATCTCTTGTTTGACTAGCTCTATTGCAAGCTACCTATCTTGAGAAGGAAGATCAAAAGGTGCAGTACAGTACATTTCAACAACCAAGATGTAACTGACTTCTAAAGTCTATAAGAATATGCAAAGAAGGCATCACTCCAATTTACAATGCTCTGCCCGGGGATCGGAACCTGGGAAGAAACAACACCCCCTCTTACTTCACCAATCGTATGCTGTTCATCACCTCAACACCTCCTACGACCTCAATTCATCTCAAACCCCAGCTCAGTATGTACAGTACACTCTCCCATCCCCGCTCCCAAATCCTCCAACAACCCACCCCCCTTCGCGGAACCCTCCGAATCCAGGCCCCACTCCACAAACATTAAATTGGGAACCAGCACGAGAACACCGTCCCCATGAGCGCCCCCTCCCCGGAATCCCCCAGGGCAATGAGCAACCAGAGTGAAGGGCGAACCAAGCGACCAAGCAGTGCACACATGTAACGGGCATGGCGCAAGGAATACCTGGACCGGTCTCCCCCAGACATAAACATGAGGCTAAGGATCCCGGAACCGGGAGGCGGGCCGGAACATCCTCCCTCCCCACGGTGGGCTAGTACTTCCGTGCATTAGAATAAGGTACTTCATTGCCCTTCCGCTCTCCCCCCGGGTCTCCTCCCACCCACAGGGCTCAATGGTCGAGGCCATGCCATGCAACTACATTCGGCAACTGGATCCGAACCAGCAAAAGGCACAGTGTCGGTGTGTGGGTAGGTATGCCGGCTGTATTGCCATCATCGCTATCAATCCCCTTAACTTACCTCTTTGGTTCAGATCAGGAGTTAGCAGTACTAAATTCACTGCTTCATCCTCTCCCGGAATCACAGTTGGCAGAGTACGGTTCCTGGCTTTTGGAAAAATTCCGGTGTACAAAATAGAGCAAATCCAGAAGACTAGTTGATTATCCCCTAGACGAGTTGTAGTACAGTACCTACAGTCACTAGTTTTGTTAAAGGTCTGATGGGAGGAGAGATGATCATTCCCGACTACTGCATCTCCTCGATACCAGGGATTTCCACCCCGGATCAAGGCCAGGATAATGCTGCCTGTGCAGCTGCGCCAAGGGTTGCATGGGAGCTGGGTCGATGGGAAGGATGTGGATGTTCCGTTGCCGGTGGTCTAGGGTGGGATAGGGGCTGAGGAGGTGGGGAGGGTGGGGGTTCTGTATTGTACATAGCAGTGGAAGTTCTTGTATTATATGGCTATCGCTTAGGGGTCTATTCCATATTCATCGACTTATTTTTACATTTTCTTCTGGCCACGCGGCTTGCAGCTAAATGCTTAATGTACTTTTTTGAGATCGGTTGCTGTGTAGGTTACCTAGTTGTGATTTGTACCTCACCATGGGCTTTTGTTCATAGTATTGGAAATTAGCATCTTGCAACTACCCGTAGTGCCACTACTGACTATGTCAAGCTATAGGATGGCCCGTTGTGAAGGACAGGGTATAGCTACTTAAGGGATTTACCGACTAAAACGACTCCTGGAGAAACTCATATGAGCCCCAATATTGATATCATTCACTTCAGTGTCATCTTACGGTACACTAAACCGCTACCCCCCTCCGACTCCAACCATGCCTCACCCCCTCCTCCCCCCGCATCTTCTCAGCAAACAACCGCCCTGCCAATTGCTTATACAAGAACACATTCCCCCCATGATAATTAATATTATGGTCCGAGTCCGTGAACCACTGCACCTGCACCTTCTCCGGGGACACCCCATCGCCGACCAACAGATCCACCAGGGCCGCCGAATTCTGAAAGTGCACGTTGTCGTCCCCCGTGCCGTGCTGGATGAGGACCCCGCCGCGGGCGCTCCGGAACCCGGCCGTCCGCCGCACCGCGCTGGCCGCATAGCCCTCCGCGTTCTCCGCCAGCGTCTTCATGTATCGCTCCGTGTACATCGAGTCGTAGAACCGCCAGTCCGCCACCGGCGCCGTGATCAGTCCCAGCGAGAAGATGCCATCGCCGTCTTCATCCTGTTCGATGACCTTGGCCGTCAGGTAGCCGCCGAAACTCCACCCCCAGATCGCGATGTGGTTCTCGTCGACGTAGGGCAGCGCGGCGGCCTGCTGGGCGGCGTAGATCTGGTCCGCCGCTTCCAGAAGTCCCAAGCGCTTGGAGACCTGTGTGCGGAATGCACGCCCCTTGTAACCCGTCCCCCGGTTGTCGACGGTCCAAGTGATGTATTCGAGCTCCAGGTCGGAGGCGATGTAGGCGTTGAAACCCAGGGACTGCCATGTTTTGCTGACCTGCTGCGCGCCGGGGCCGCCGTAGGGGGTGAACAGGATGGGGTATTTCTTGGTCGGATCAAAATTCACCGGCAGTCGTTGCATGACATTGAGGGTTTCGTTTGTGGGGCTAAGGGGGAGGGGTAGTTCGAAGTAGCTGATGTTGGGGAGCGCATAGTCCTGGAGTTGAGTAACAGTCTTAGCGTTGTCGTTGATTGTGCGCAGAGGATCGCTCTGGTCGACGGAGTAGAGCTCCTGGTACGGAACATCGGGGCCGCTGTAGGTGAGGATGTAGTATCCCGAATGCGCGGAGAACGACGCAGACCAGTACGCGGGCACGGAGTCATCAACGAGAGGTGTGATTTCGAATGTGCGGTAGGACACTGAGTAAAGATGCCTCTCAGTACTGTGCCGTTGGGTGGAGAGGTAGTAGATGAGCTGTCTGGCTCTGTCGATATTAAGAATGGAGGTCACCTCCCATTCGCCGCTAGTGAGAGCGGTCGGCTCGCCACCCGACAGAGGGAAGAGCCACAGATGGGACCATCCCGACCGGTCGGAGATATCGAGGTAGTATAAAGAGGAGCTGTCGTCGATCGCTCCGATATAGTTCATCGAAAGAGTGTTATCTATCCATCCATCGGTGCCGTCGCGCTCGTGGATGGTTTTCGCCAGCCCTGAAGCAGTGTCAACCGCCACAACTGCCTGACGATCCTGAACGCGGTTGAATGACTTGACGGCTAGCGTGGTGTGAGTATCAGTGAGCCAGCAGGCTTCACCGATGATCAAATCATCTGACTCGAAAGGATCGATCGGGACGGTTAGAGCGCGGTTCTCAGACACGCGGAGAAGGTTCAATTGCACCGTGGGATTGGTCTGCGATACTTTCGGGTATCGGATCGGCATCTCGACTGGATACGGCGGCGCAATCGCCTGGTTATCCATGTAGTATGGCACCGTGTAGGTCGGCACGCCTGTCTCATTGAAACTCAGGAAGGAGAGATACTCCCCATCGGGAGAGAACCATAGTGCGAACCGGTCCCCCAAGATCTCCTCCTCGTAAACCCAGTCCGGCACACCATGGAAGATATCAGGCCCGCCGTCCGTGGTGATCGCTGTAGTGACCCCATCAATCCAGGTGAACAGGTTGTTTCCCCGGACAAATGCGATCGTGTCGCCCACCGGGCTCCATCGGGCATACTGAATGTCGCCGTTCTGGTCTGGAACGAGAGGGCTAAGCTGCAACGACAGGACGTCTTGAATGTAGTAATCTGCTAGCGATGAATGTCGGTATTTCTTAGTATGGTTGGTCTCCCAGAGGATTGCCGAGAGATCGGGCTTGACTTGGTAGCTGTACACCTCCGGCGGGACGTGGTCGGATGCAACGAGGGTCTGCGTTTGGTTGGTAACAAAATTGTTGATCTTCAGACTACCGTCTTCGTCTTGGTAGACATACTGCCCATCTTCTGCTGTGGAAATCCATTCCACTGATATTTGCGACGGCGAAATCGCCCTTCGCACGACGGTCTCATTGAAAGTCAGGCGCTTTGTGCCACCCCCGGTCGGGGGATATGGATTACGAGCAATGCCAATGGCATGAACGAGGCCTATGACGAAGAAAAGATGCTGGAGATTTTAGCAAGATTGGGTTTGCGACAGGTCACTCTTACTTACCTTCATGGCTGTGGCCAAGGGTGGAAGAAGCAACTGTTCGCGACAAAGGGCATGCCAGCGGTGACTTATACTGAGTATTTCAAGAAGGACCCCCGCCTACCTGCCGGGAAGGTGGCTGGGATTGTGGTCTTGCCTGACGTGATGAGGTTTCACTACGCTGCAAGCCAAGTGCCTGTACCCCTCTCGCCATGGCTAGGTTGCTGGTAACGTTACAGTGCATTCGGTCCTTTTCTTCTTATTTTCCTGCATAGCGTTCAGTGTCGTCGTGCTTATGTAAGTCGTACTCATGATCTTCGATTAGCGGGGCCATCAACTGGTCTGCGAATGAGTAGTTGCTAAAATAGTGAATGTCGCGTACGGGATGTTTTCTCAAAAGAACCTGGGAAGTATACTTACTGCCTGATGTGGATGAGCGGCAGGTTTTGCACTGTATAGTTTGATCTGGCTTGTATAACCTTATCTACCGACATATGATATCAAGCAGCATCATTGGTCTAGTGGTAGAATTCATCGTTGCCATCGATGAGGCCCGTGTTCGATTCACGGATGATGCACTAAGATATCTCTTTTTGTTTTCCTCTTTTTTTTTGCTCGGCCTGCGACCGGCCGATTTACCTGTGTGTTTCAATAATTATCCTGAAGCACTCCAAGTGGTATCATTTGCGTTGCGACTCTGTCCTCTGCCCCTTGCAGTGCAAGAAATCTTTCTACGGTACATTCCCTTCCGTCCGTTCCAGGTTCACGTATAGATCCACGCAGTCAACAAATCTTCCCCGGACCTTTGTTCCCAGAGATAAGATTCATCACGTACCATGGTAGGCTATTGCATCAAAACATAGTTCAAAGAGGAACCAAGAAAACTAAAAGGCTAGCCTGCATAAGAATGACACCGCCAGACAAAATCAGACCAAATCTGTCCATGCTCTTGAGCTGAGGAGATCTATTTCCCCACATCTGACCTTTCTAAAACCAACGCTGTCCTGAGGATTTCCCAATATAACTACACAGCATGCTAACCAGGCACACCGAAAATACCCTCCTCTAACAACAAGAATGAGGATGATAAAAAGAGCAAGAAAGTATGAAAAGCACCATCATACTGTATATACATCTTTGACCGTCATATTACACACTGCCTGCACGCAGAGTCAACAACGCCGATCCAGCACAGACGCTAGATAGAGGGGATAGTTCATACCTGCCGTCTCAAGGCAAAATCATCATAGATGCTGCGCCAGATATCTCGCGCGCGACAGTCATCACGGATACCCGTTTGGGGGTCCAGATCACACGTCGGCTGATTCGCTTCAATGATACTTGTGTTGGCTCGGAACCACGGCTATATACAAGGAAAATTTCAGTGAGTTGCTTTCCATATGCCCTGGGATTCAGCTTACATACCTTGGGAAGAGGCCAGTCGGAGAAATGCAGGAACTTTGTCTGATTGAAGACCTCGACCGGGTCCCAGGAGTCCTGCGAATCGCCGAGATAGGCGGTATGGTCTTTGGCACGAAACTCGCCGGTGAGGAGGTAGTAAGGCCGGTGGGGGAGATCCCCCGCGCGGCCCTGGTACAGCTTGTTGACGATCTCCATGTCGAATTCGTTCGGCCCGGCGTCGGCGATCGCCCGTTGGATGCGGGCGAACTCGGACGCAGAGGGCTCGATTAATGCGATTAGAGTGCTCATCGTCCGGCTCGCGGGACTGAGCCAGTAGGCCCGGGGGAGGACCACGGGCGATGGCGGGAGCAGGAATAGTTCATCCAAAGACTGTAGGGCTATTGTGAGCGCCTTCTCCCCTGCCCTATTTTGCGGGTTCGGATCAAACAACAAAGCTTACCTGGAGAAGAGTTGAGTCGGAGTCCAGGCTCAAGACGCGATCGTACTGGGTTTGGTTGAAAGCTAGTAGTTTGGTGTAGCTGTCTGCCCAGGTCTCTGGAATGCGCTTGCTGTCAGTTGTGGGAAAGTCACCGGTGGGATGGGTGGCTTACTGTCGACGCCCTTCCGGTGCTGAAGCTCGACTGGGACCAGCTTGACCCTATACTCATCGCGGGCCTTGCGGAGCAACTTCGCAACCCTGGAGTTGTCGTCGGTGGAGAAGTCCGATGAATACATTAGCAGGCGATCGGCTCGACTGCCTAGGCGATGCAAGGTCTCAAACAACATCACCGAGTTGCAGAGGTACGCTCGGTTGGTGGCATATTGAGTGTAGGCGAATCGGGACCAGTCGGTCTGGGGAGCCGAGGTGTAGCCACCAAGAGGGATGAACTGGAACGAGGGCTGGAAATCAATCAGGCAGAGCTGCCACAGAACCGCGAAAGCGAAGCAGCACACCAAGACGGTCCGGACTGCCCTGAACGTTTTTACTTGCATGTCAAAGCTGCTTTCATGGACATCGGGGTGGGATACTCAGGATGAACGACTTACCTTACAAAGAGTCGGGTATGGGATAAATACCCAGTAGAGGAACGAGCAGCTGGAATTGAAAGGGTTCAGGGCTCACAAGGTCGGGCGGCAACTCGACCTATTGAATCGTCGGGAACTCCAGGGTCTCTTTTATCCATCCCCGGTTCGGAAAAGCCGCGGCGTTTTAGCGTCATGTCAGCGCTCATCAGAGTTTCAGATATAGTACAGTACAGTACCATTCTATTCTAGAGAGATCATACAATTATAGAACTTCTTGCAGAGCGCGTACATGCAGTCGATGTATGGCTGCATACTCCCCTCATTCTAGAGCCTTGTCAACACGATCCAATGTTTGATGTGTTTTCATACCAGACAAGGAATTGAAGCCCCAGCTTCGACTCCGCTCTTTCCTACCCTTACCCTAAACCCTCCTCGCTCTTTCCCCATGAGCAAAATGCCCAGCCGTTCAAGATTCCGCTGAGATTGTACAGACCTTTCTTACAACTTACTCGTTCCTATCCCGTTCTGAATAAACGATCCTACACTCATGGTCTCCTCTCTTTTTCTTCTGGTAAGCATCTGGATTGCTCCGATCATTGTCCATGCAGCAACACCTTTCACCGTGCCATGGACGGGCCAGACGTACGGTCCGGATGGTCCCTGGCAAGCTGTCCAGGTCAAAATCGGCAGCGACCGGCAAGAGATGGCTCTCTATCCCGGAGGAGCCTGGCAGAGCTACATCCTCCTCTCCTCAATTTGCTCCAATACTTCATTATCCTCCTACTGCTATGCTAACCGGGCGGGTGTCTTCGACAAACTGACCTCCACCACGTATGACGACACGGCCATACGGCTGACCATCAACGATGGAACATGGGGACCACTGCACTTTGGCGCTGCCACCGACAACCCCATCTACGGCACCGCCAAGTGGGCTCTCGATTTGATCGATATCTCGGGGGTCACGGTGCCGAACGTCAGTCTGAACGTGGTGGACCAGGGGTACCAGATATACCCGGATGGGACCAATTACCCTCTCGAGCTTGGAGTCCTCTCCCTGGGAGCCCCCAGCCTACAACAGCAGTTCGCGAACCGAGGACAGGCCACCATTAACGGCACCTTTTTCGACAGTTACCTGTTCACCTCCGGTGGCGGTCAGGCGATCCCGTCCTACTCGTACGGGATGCATATCGGCACGCCCACGTACAACCTGGCGGGGTCCTTGCTACTGGGCGGATATGATCAATCCCGTGTGCTGGGGGAAGTCTCGTCCCAGCCATATTCCGATGATGGAGGGTTGCCAATCAAGCTTCGCGACATCAGTCTCGGAGTAGTTCGCGGAGGCTCGCCGTGGTCTTCCTCAACCACGAACAGCACCACAAACAGCAACCCCACAGGTCTTCTCGCCGCCGGCAACTCCTCAATTACCTCCAACGGAATCACCGTCTACTCCACCCCCGGGGACCCCTATATCTACCTCCCCCAAAGCACCTGCGACGCCATCGCCGCCCACCTCCCCGTCACCTACCAGAGCACCCACGGCCTCTACATCTGGAACACCTCAAATCCCGCTTACCGCAGCATCATCACCTCACCCAGCTACCTAGCCTTCACCTTCGCCAAGGACAACTCCAACCGCGCCAACATCACCATCAAGATTCCCTTCGCCGTGCTGAATCTCACCCTAACCCCACCTTTGGTCGCCCAACCGACCCCCTACTTTCCCTGCCGGGGCACCACCACCGCCGGGGCCGTCTACGCCCTCGGCCGCGCCTTTTTGCAGGCCGCATTTGTCGGAGTCAACTGGGGCGATAGCGGCAGTGGCACGGGCAATTGGTTCCTGGCGCAGGCGCCCGGCCCCAATCTGCAGACGCCGTCGACCACCGTCATCCAGCCCGAGGATACTACTGTCCTTGGATCAGACAATGGTTGGGAGGATAGTTGGTCCGGGGTGTGGACGGCGCTCCCGGTTGCGACTGCTGCCGCGTCCGCTTCCGCTTCGACGACGAATACCACCACTAATGGACGTTCATCCTGTGAGAATTGCAGCACTGGGACACTGTCGACAGGTGCTAAGATAGGGATGGGCGTCGCCTGCGGCGTGGTAAGTATAGGTGCGACCGTCTTGTTCACGCTGTGGTGCGTTACTCGTCGTCGTCGTGCCTCTCTTGATAGGGCTGGTAGTGGTGGAGGCGGCAAGGATTGGCCGGATTCGATGCAGGGTCCCAACTGGGCGGCTTATGAGTTTACGAGTACTCTTAGTGATAGTAGGCCCGGTGGTGGTGCTGGTGGTAGTGGATGGCCAGCGGGTCGGCCGCGGGCTAAACCCCCTGTCGAGCTTGGTGTATATCGGAATGAAGGACCGCATGAGATGGGATAGAATGTAGAATCACGGATTCATCTCCGGGTTCTATCCTCGGTGCAGCTTTTACATGTAAATGTGCTCTTTGTCTTGAGAACCTTACTCAAGAGGGGGTTTGGTGGGTGGCGCTGGTCATGGTCTTCCTGCTGCGGGGTTGTAGATTAGGATCCTATTCCAATGCCGAATCAAATCGTGGAGTCAGACTTTGTCATTGTTTAGGGCCTTGTTCGGTACTCCGAATGACGGGGAGACAGGGGACAATAAGTTCCCTGTTCACATCCCTATCTACATCCTATCTTGCAGGGAGAGAGTTGCGAACCCAGAAACTTGTCAGGGACTCGGCTGATTGCCGAGCCATGGCTCAGGGAACCAAGCACCCCTGGGTTTGACATTTACCGTACCACGTTGGTACTAGGCGGCTGAACACTATGAATAGCTGCATTTCTGTCCTTCAAGATGGCGACAAACGCTTAGTCGAATTATTCTTGATCAAATTATGCCCGATCAAATAGATGCTGAACTAAGTGGATGCTCGAGCCCGGAATTAATCGCCAGGGCACAAAATCAGAACCATTGCCTCAGCGGTCTCTCACAAGCATACGATCCCGCCTCCCGTACATCCCCACCCTTGTACATCGAAACCAGCGGCCACGGACACAGCGACCGCGTGCGCCCATCCGCCGCCTGCGCGTGCAGCGTCGCCGGCGCCACACCCGCTTCCACCCAGTCGACGACCTGCGCCAACGGGTCCACGGGCACGGGGCCCTCGCCCCCGGAACAATGATGCACGCCCGGGGCGGGGAAGAAGCGATAGAAGTCGCGCACCGCCGGGTCCCGCGCCTGCACCTGCCGGTAGTAGTGCTCGGTGCCCTTGGGGAAGATCAGCGGGTCGGCCAGCCCATGCCACGTGATCAGTTTCCCGCCGGCGGACTTGAAGGCGGAGAGGTCCGGGTCGTCGGTGCCGATGATCGCGTTGTATTCGGCGGTGGAGCGGGAGAGGATGGTGTCTAGGTCCGCGTGGTCGAGGGTGGTCAGGTCGAAGGCTGGGTCTTGTAGGACGTACCGCCGGATCCAGTCGGAGGAGATGGCGAAGGGGGAGCCCGTGCAGTTGGTTGGGGAGGTGCAGGTGGTGGCGGCGAGGCTGCCGCTGCCCGTGGAGAGCGGGGCGCCGCGCTCGAGACCGTACCACTGGAATGTGCCGTTCGAAGACCGCATTCCGGTCCAGATTAGCGAGACAGCTAGCGCGGCGGGTTTGGTGACGGTCACGCTGCTACCGTTGCATGCGACGGTTTGGTTGACTAAGGTGAGAGGGTCGAAGGTGCAGAGGTCGGGAGCTGAGATCACGCCGTCGGTGACGCCGTCGAGGGCGTCGCAGGCGGTGATGGCGGCGGCGGTGATGGCGTCGGTCACGCACGTCGGCGGGTGTGACTGGAGCTGATTCATGACGAACTGCGGCCAGTATTCCGCCACCAGGAAGGTGGGCCAGTTGATGGCGGGGGCCGCAGCCATGATTCCGTTGTAGGCCGTGGGATACCGCTGCGCGAGCATGAGTCCTTGTCTGCCGCCGGTGGAGCAGCCGTTCCAGTACGAGCGGTTTGGCCCGTAGCCATAGAAGCTGTGGCTGATTTGCTTGCCGATGACGGCCGCATCGTTCAAGGCAACGTAGGCGAAGTCGTCGAGAAGGGCCATGTTCACTTGGTTGGATGCATCCAGTGACCAGGCGGCGGAGTTCTGGGATACGAGGCCGTGGCCACCGTCTGTGGCTACAACGGCATAGTCGAGGCCGACCGCTTCTGCTAGAACCGAGTCGTCGTGACGCATTGCATAGCCGCCACCCCCGGAGCCCTGAAGCCGGCCGTTCCAGCTCGAGAGGGGAAGCCAGACAGTAGTGTGGATAGCGTCATTCTTCCCGGGATGGGTGTATGTGACTGTCACATTGCAGAAGCTCAGTGTCGTGTTGCCGTTCTGGTAGCCAGTGACTGGAATGGCAGTCAGCTGTAACAGCTGCCCATCAGGGATCGAGGGTTGGGCGATGCCGGCTACCGAGCAGTTCCCCGCATTTACTGCTGAAGCACCCAAAAGGGTAGCCGCAACAGCAGCCGAGGTTAAAGACCGGGGCGTGGGCAGAACCATCCTGGTAGTGAGAGTGAGGCACTGGACTGTGACAAGCGTCTGCTCTGTTTCATGAGTCGGGACATCAGCGCTGCTTTATACTGGGTCCAGATTTTCCAGGTTTGTGCCTCGTTCGAGCCCGCGTGGAAATCCAAGAGACATCCTAGTGGATCAGCGGCATCACACGCAGCCCATTTGCATGGCAACTGAATCGCCAGGAAAAATATCCGCAGATACCAGTGTCCGTGCCATGGCGCGGTAGCGGAGTGCGGTTTGATACGCTCCCTGATTAGGCAATTTCCTTGTAGTGGAGGAACTTAGAGTATAGATCGACATGGACGGCAGCTCGATCGGGAGTTCGTCGGTGGAGCCGATCGGAACCCACCGCTGCTGGGCCATATGGCACTGGAGCCCGCTAAGAGCTGCCCGGAGATCGTAATTCAGAACAGGGAACAGGAGGCTCTGATGACCTTGGATATCAGGGGAGCCATCGAGAGGAGGATGTCTGCACAATTGATCTTATGGTGCTTGCGAGCGGCCGACATTTGTGTTGGACGCATTCATAAGCCTGGACGGGCTCTGTGAGAGCAGGATACGGTCATCAGAAGCAGATGCCATGTTCGCGTTGACGATCTACTATGGAGAAGAACTGCAAGCAAGAAGCGTGTCCCGGGTCGGGGTACCCAACCGAAAAAGCTCTTGTTCGCTATTCCATGCAGCCCAGTCTATCGGTCGCTGGAATGCAATTGATAGGTCAGCAGAATAGAATCCGTTCAGTCAGTGCATTTCATTCTAATCCCAGGGCAAATAAATGAACACTGAAGATGGACTATCATGCAAGTCGTATCTGTATTAGAGATGAGCTCGACAAGCCACCCAGGGGGCATGAAAACGAGAGGTGATTCATATTCCTCGACTGGATCGATTCCTGTTTCGTGTTGCGCTTAAGCTTCGGGTGATACTTACGGAGAAGAAGTCCACAATCGACGCTCTAAGTACATTGTGCTACAGTGGCACAGGTTCTTTACATCGAGTCGACTTGCGGCCTGCTAGACGGTGAGAAAGATCTGCATTTGCTTGGAATGGGTGTTTGCGCCGAACGGTGGGGGGGTGGATCGGATCGATGCAACATTTGCATTTCCACCTCTCGTCCATCTAGCTAGGGGGATCCTGGAGAAGCTTTACACAGTATCATGCAGAGTAGCCTCAAAGAGAAATTGTGAACACACTTCAATGGCTTTTGGAAAGTATGAGGATTTAGCTGAGCCAGTCGGGTGGTGGGGCAAGTACATACTAGAAAGATAGACTCTCGGATGAGAACCTCAACTTCGGCGCGGAATGATTCCGAACGTCTCCCAGTCCATTGTTAAATCACATGACAATAAGTCATGTGCTTCGCAGTTCGAATCCGCCTGAGGGATGCTTTGATTTTGAAATCGACAATTGTTTGTCTCCTTGTGCTGAGCAATTCGCTTTTTCTAAATTGATTCATAGCGTCTACTACTTTTCTATGAGGGTGAGCGAATACCATCCAGAGTGGAATTCACATGGTGTTTCTCTAGCGGCGGTTGAAGTAGTCATTTTATCCGGAATGTAGCCTTCAAGGTTACGAGTCGCGGTGCTAAGCCCCAATAGTTCGATTTGAGGCTAACAAATGACTCACACAGCCAATGATAATAGAATCAAGACCGCGCTAGTCTATAGATTTATAAGTGAGGAGCCGTTGCACCAATCATGTTTGTCACGACACAAGGCGCAGCTTTGGAGCTATTGCATGCTGCCTGATGTGCTGCCTATTAGGGGCTGCTGTGCGGAGTATAAGTACTGTACAGAGGATTCTACCTACGTCCTTGCCACTATCATCTCTTTCCTCTTCATCTTTACATTCTCTCTCTTCACTCCATCATTTATATCGACGAAGCGGAGATTTTATTCTTCAAAAATAAGAACAAGAAACAAACAAGATGTCCGACCATACCACCACCACCACCACCACCACAGACAACACAACTGAGATCCTCCTCACCTCCCTCCCCACCAAGACCGTCACCTTCCAGCCAACTCGCGCCACTATCGTCCGCGAAGTCCCCGTCACGATCCACGTGAGTCCCGTCCCATCCCCTTTTCTCTGATGATCTAGATCACTGACAGGGGAGAAAGCCCGGTCCCAACACCCTAACCATCCACGGCCTCGACCCCCAAGCAGATTTCGATTCGATCCGCATCGAGGGCTCGGGCCCCGCTTGCATAACGGATTTCCAGACGGAGGTGGTCAAGTCGCGGCTTTATGCTTTGGAGGCCAACGAGGGTGAACAGGATGTAAGTAGTAGTGATTCGTCTTCCTCCGAGGATGACGAGGCAGACGATGAACCCGAGGAGCTTCGACTCGTGAGGGCAGAGCTGCGCACGGCGAAGGAGAAGGCGGCGTTGGCGGGGATCCGGAGGGATGTCGCGGGAAGTTTGATTGATTTCTTGCAGGAGCAGAAGAGGGGATCAGTTTTTCCGACGGCTGGCGCCGGGTTTGGGAGACCGCAGCAGCAGCAGCAACAGGTGGAAGTGTATAAGGTCGGGGAGTTCATGGATCTGTTTAATGCGCGGGGGAAGGAGGAAGGGGAGAAGCACTATCGGGCCCTTGTTGAAGCGGAGGAAGCGGAAGAGGATGTGGCGAGGTTAATGGGCAAGGTTCAGAAGGTGGAGAAGAGAGTGTTCAAGGAGAAGAGGAAGAAGGAGGCGGCGCGTGAGAAGGAGAGGCAGGCCCGCAGGAAGGAGAAGATGCAGAGAAAGGAGAGAAAGGAAAGGCTCGAGAAGGAGCAGAAGTCGTTTCGGAAGAATAGGGTCGGAGAGGTGGTCGTTCATCTGGACGGCGAGGCGCCTTTCGCTGATGGTGATGCTGATGATGGGGAAGGCAAGAAACAAGGCGACAACAACGTCATGCTCCGGTTGAGCTATGTCGTCGCTGGACCCAGCTGGGTCCCACGGTATGATCTGAGTATCAACACGCCGGCCTCCTCGGCCAAGATGGTCTATCGGGCCGAGTTTCGTAATGCGTGCTCGGAGACGTGGCGCGATGCCCGCGTAACCCTGTCCACCTCGCAGGCCTCGTTTTCCGGGCTGGGAGAGCGCATTCCCTCGCTCCAGGCGTGGCAGCTGATGGTCCAAGCGGACAACAACAATAAGAACCAGGAGCAGACCTCGTGGGAGAACATTCTGCGTAGCAAGCCTGAGCAACGCCATCTTATGCCAGTACAGACCCTCCACAAGTCGCTTTTCCAGCAGCAGCAGCAGCAGCAGCAGCAGCAGCCGTCGCGGAACGCATCAGTGTTTGGGCCCAATCATGTTGTTACAGCGGCTGCGTCCAGACCCTTTGGTAATACTGCACCAGCGGCTCCTCCGCAACAAGTTCAAGGCGGATTGTTCGGACAAGCAGCAGCCCCTCCACCACCCCCGCCCCCGGCCCGGCAATCTGGGGGGGCTCTATTTGGTGGCCTACCACCAACCACCACAAGCGGTCCTTTGTTCGGTGCGCCAGCCAACCCACCGCCAACCGGCACCAGTGGTCCTCAATCTGGCGGATTCGGACGATCTATGAGTGGAGGGCTGTTTGGAAGTGTACCTGGACCTTCGCAAGCTCAGCCCACGGCGCTGATGAGTACAACGACAGCATCCATGCAACCATTCGCTCAATCCGGGGAGAACGATCCCACCCAAGAGGGACCCAAGCCCTCCTTTGGATCGCCACCACCACCACCAAAAACCATTCCAGACCTGGAACACCAAGAATCCTTCCAGCAAGATTACGGCCTCACAACCACATATGACCTGCCCGGTCATCGCACCGTCATCCCATCCCTCGTGGCCCGGCGCCACCTCCTCGCCGACCTCCACCTCGACTCCGTCACCCTATCCTACACCATCGTCCCCAAGCAGCGCGCCGCCGCCTTCCTCCAGGCCAAGATCCAGAACTCCTCCGCGTCCGTGAGCCTCCTCCGCGGGAAAGTCGGCATCACCATCGACGGGACCTTCCTGGGGACCGCGGACCTGCCGAGCTGCGGGCCGAAAAAATCGTTCACCTTGCCTCTGGGCGTGGATCCACTGATCCAGGTCACGTACGGGCGGCCGACGGTGCGGCGCACAACGGGCAGTGGGGGCTTGTTTTCCCAGAAGGAAGAGGCGGCGGTGTTCCGCCGGACGTGCCGGGTCAAGAACACGCGGAGCAACGCCGTCGAGGTGGCGGTTGTCGATCAGGTGCCCGTCAGCGACGATGAGCGGTTGAAGGTGCAGATCCTGGAGCCCAAAGGGTTGGTCCAGGAAGGAGACGATGCGCAAATGAAGGAGGGGGCAGTGCATCTGGGAAAGGCCGGGGAAGTCAAATGGGTGGTCAAGTTGGCGCCTGGGAAGGAGGTGAAATTGGTGTTGGAGTATGAGGCCAGGGTACCGGCAGGGAGTGAGGTTAGTGAAGTCTGAATGAGTGTTTCGATCCAATCTTCGAAGAGATAGTCCGGCGCGGATAGTTTTGTCGAGGCTCAGTCTGCTTTATAGTTAGTTATCACCTATGTGATTGCATCGTTCAGAAACACCAATCACAAACCAAGATAAGAATAAGAAACTCCTCAACCACGTAGCCTCTTTAAAGTTGGTGAACTCCATGGAATCAAACGAAATCACCACTCCCAACTCCCCGGCATCTTCCTCTTCCCCTCCTCCCCCTCCTGGGCTTTCTTCTCCGAAGACTCCTCCTCGGCAGCCTCCCCCCACCTCTCGCGCCAAACGGCCAGCTCCTCCCGCCAGAGATCCCGTACGCAGGGGTCACACGAGCTGCCACAGCACTCGCCCAGCCCCGGCGGCGGCGGGGGATCGTTGTAGTCGCGCTCCGCCGCGCGGAGGAGCTGCTTGGCGCGCGTTCCCGAGAGATGTTTGCGGGCGCGGATGACCGTCGGCGTTTGCTCGGGCGTGTAGGCTGCTTGGGGAGACATCATTCTTGTAGCTTTCTCTGTTCCCAGATAGAGAGTCGAGATGGAGAGGTGAAGTTGTTTAAGACTCGGTTCAGTTGAGTTTTAAGAGCGATATAGATATATGTGCTTGTACATTTGCAGGATAGGGATTTTACCGATCTGGAGGAACTACGTAGGGAAGAGTCGGAGAGCCCGGTCGGGTAGGAACGGGGTGGGTTTGCCGGGTGGAAGCCTTGTACTCGACATTGTAGTTCATTATGCGACGCAGAACGATGCATGAAACAGCTATATACTTGCTAAGAATTGAGAAGCAAGATGCGATCTGTTTACATACAATTGACGAACCATACTATAGAAGGTGCAAAGTGTATGGAGTGAGTGTAGGTAACCTGCAAGCGTTTGTTATCTTTCCGATTCGTAGCCGCCGCCATACCTTCTCTACATATTACATGGACGTGACCCGAGGTCCAACAATCACCCGCTGGGCCGGCTAGATCGGTGCCTGAGGATTTCAACTGTAGCTCCGATACGGTATCCATACCAGATTTACACTTACCCTTACGCACGAAATACACGAAACACGCTGGCACTCCCCAGCAACCTGAACCTCCGCCCATACATCCGCGGGCTCCTCCATGATGCGACGAAATCAACACAGGTATCAATCACCCTCTGGACCCATAATGGATCGTCATGCACTTGTTTTAAAACCATCGCCGCGTTCTCTCTCCTCTTTTCCTATCTTTCCCCCTCCTCGACAGGTGGCAATCACAAGTATCTACAACTCCCTCATACTCAGACTTCTGCCCAGCTATACGGAAGAACCCGGCTGGAATAGCTTCCTCAATCCCTGTCTGCGGCGGCTGCATGCTTAAATTGAAGGCCAGTTTGTCCGTTGGGTGGCAGCAGTTCAAAATCCCAGGCAAAAGCTCCCTCCCCCTGCTCGGTTACGTAAGGGACGCAGGGCGGCTGAGATCATATCTCGATCACCGCCAACCGCGTTAACTAGTGCCAACTTGGGCATAGTGCAGTAAGCATGGGTAAGAAATGTGACAATTTTGAGAAAAGGGGGGAGGGAGAGATGGTGAAGAGATTGAAAGAGAGACTCCATCTGACTGTCCCATTACTGGACAAGACTGCGAGGTATAAATATGAGAGCGTATCTCTCTTTCCTGGGGATGGAGTGCCGAAGGAGGAGGGGGGGTGGACGGGGGCTAACTACCCCGAGGTGGTGAGCGAAACCTGCGATCCATCCACGACGGAATTTGCTGCTGCGTCGAATTGGCCAGAGCAAAAGAATAAAAAAAAAAAAAAAAAAAAAGGGCGTGCACTGCTACTGCTGGCACTAGCGCTGACCGTCATGGGATTTACCTCTCGATTGTTTTGTATTTTATTACTCTGGTCGGAAGGGTGAGAAACAGCTGGGAGGATTGTGACGTTTTTCTTCCCGAGGATTTAATTTCTTTGGCTAGGGTTAGGGGGGAAACGATGGTGGGAAGCGGGAGTGCAGACGAGCTGACTTCTTCCACACCAAATTTGGCCGGTTTCTCTGATCTATCCAAAAGCTATATAAATCCACATCACCTCCCTCGAGCCAGCATTGGGGGCAACAGACAAAGAGAGAGAAAATGGATGCAGTGACATTCCTTTTTTTTTCTTTCCTCTGGTTCTGCTGAAAAGTTGGCGTCGATTTCATCACGGTGGGTGGTGCCCCCAGCTTCGAGCTAGCTCTTCATGCAGCTTAGCTTTTTTTGTTCCGGCGTCGACGGGATGAGTCGGGTTGGCCCAAAAGAGCAGGTTCCCAATCAGACAAGTCGGTGAGGCGAGGCAATTCCCTCCGAATTTCAGCTCACGACTGCAGTAACGACACTGTGCAAACAAACCTGCTTGCGTCGCCAGTGGGAATTCTGTTTCTGGGACAGAACCTCCGGCGCTGGTGGAGCCGCATGCCCGATTCGGCCCGGTCTATTGAGACCGAGCAGGCGGCCAGTCTGTCATTGGCTACGGATGCACCGCTAAGTGGGTCATGTACCACTTTATCGGACCCATTTGGCTTCTGGGGTCCACTTTTCTGGGACCTCCTTGGTTTTTTCGCTCTCTCACACTCTGCTGCTGCTCTCGTTACTGTGATCCCTCCTCCCTCACAGTCAGCTTCAGAACAACCAGATTTTGTGCATACCGTAGGCCAGACTCTCCCTACAGCCAATTGCTCTGTCCTCAGGGTCGGGAAACCGGAAGATGGAAGGGCAAGTCCATTTTATATGTAAGGAAGAATGAAGGGAGCTCGGGGTGGGAATGCTCCCTACCCATCCTTCTTTCTCTCCACCACCCCCTCTCTCCCCCCCTTGGCCAATCTTTCCCCGGTCACCCTGGTTACAAGTAATCTTACTGTAAAGCCAATTGCTTCACATCGGCATACGGGGGAAAAAGCACAGGACCTGGTCATGGACGAGAAGTGGGTGCGCAATGGCAGCATCGCCGCAATGCGACTCGTGGATAGTACGGCCAGCGGACCTGCGCGGCCGGACAGAGACCCTGAACAATTGGCTGTACCGGCAGCATTGCGCGCTTGGCCCCATCCCGAACGAACCCGAACTGTCCGCGAGAGCGTAAAGCAGATGGTAATTGCAGTGTATGATACCAGTCAAGTAAGATAGAGGACAATCAATTACTGGAAGCACACACGCGCCAGGCCCCGGGTAGGGCTTTTTCTCTTCCCAACAAGCGCACTAACGGAAGCCGACTGGGGGGCTGGTGGGCTCGAAAGGGTAAAAAACGCGAAAATTTAGCGGGAAAGTATTTATGGCCCGGAAAGGTCACTGTTGTCACATTTCCTCCAGGTTTTCCTCCCAGAAAAGTTCTTCCTCTCCCTCTTCCTCTTTTCTCCTCTTCTTCTTTCTTCTCTCCTTCCTTCCTTCCCATCCCCCATCTTCTCGAGAAAAAAATCCCAGTCTTCTTTCTCAAGACCAACCCACCCCATCACAATGGCCTCTTCCCGTGTCTTCGCCAGCCGTCTGGCTTCCACCATGGCTGCCACCTCCAAGGTCGCCCGCCCTGCCGCTCGCGTTCAGCTCAACGCTGTCGCCCCCAAGCGCACCTTCACCACCCAGAAGAAGATCAACATGACCCCCTTCCAGACCGTCAAGCGTCAGTCTCCCTCCGGCCTCATCCAGGCCAACGCTCGCCAGGCTTTCGCCGCCCAGGGCCGCCGTCAGTACTCCTCTGAGATCGCCGACGCCATGGTCCAGGTCTCCCAGAACCTGGGTATGGGTTCCGCTGCCATCGGTCTCGGTGGTGCCGGTATCGGTATCGGTCTCGTCTTCGGCTCCCTCCTCCTCGCCGTCTCCCGCAACCCTGCCCTCCGTGGTCAGCTCTTCTCCTACGCCATTCTTGGTTTCGCCTTCGTCGAGGCCATTGGTCTGTTCGACCTGATGGTTGCCATGATGTGCAAGTACGTCTAAATTTAACGCAACCACTTTTCTCCCACGACAATCGAGCCGCATATCATATCTCCTAGCGAAGCGTTTGCGGTGTCCGGCAAATCTTGGAAGGGATCGAATTTTTTTGTGAGATGAAATACGGGAAGGGAACAAGATGGGATGATGACGAAACCAATTTCACAAAAAGACTCTCACAAAATCTACGAAGCTTTTTCTGGATCACTTGTACAACAATTCCACAAATGAAACAATCGGTTTAATGAGCGTGCTCGTCCGGTAAACCGGTTATCTTCTCTTCGTTCCATTTTTACCTTTCTTTTCTGTTTTTTCATCTCCCCCAAAAAATTGAGAACGACTGGATTTTTTACTATACAGACACTTCCCTTTCTTTCTAGGAGGTTGATCATTTTGTGGTGGTCTTTTTATATATCATGTACTACTCCCTATTTCCTTTTTCCCCCTCAGGTCGTCGCCTACAACATGCAACCAATATACACTGTACATATAGAGTTAAAATGGCCACTCTAAACCCATCCTTCTGAGCCTTCAAAACTCGGTGTGTTGTCTTGGGGGAGCCAAGTAGACGATCGATGGTGAGGACGATCCAGAACAGAGGGACATCGTAGAATCACCGACAAACCCCCATATTCTGGGGTAAAAAAGAAGAGAGCTTGAGCTTGAGCTTGAGTTTGGAGTGGTTCCAGTTTAGCACAAAACAGAGAGCTCTTGAGCATCCATCGAGTTGTAGTGACCAGAACCACTGACAAGTCGTTTACGGTATGACGGAATTTAGAGAAGGTCAGAGCTCTCTCCAGGCTCCCTCCTCCCCGTGGTGGGTGCGTGTGGAAGAAGACGGATTGATGCCAGCTGTCGAAAACGGATGAACCTCAGGGCTGCCTTCTCCCCCTTCCCTTTCCTGTTCTTCCGGGGAGAGGGGGCGGCCGACGTCCAAGATAACTGGCACTGGCTCCTACGGAGATCGTTATCAATCACCATCAGATCTCAATCAATGCTCTAAACACTCAATTGCGGTTCCCACTCTCCTAACTCTGTATATAGTCTTCCCACCCGTCTTTCTTCACTTAACTCTGTTCACACATTCCCCAGACTTCGCAATTGCTGTGTGCGCGTGTATCGGGAGGGTGGGTGGTAGTGTAGGAGGATCCTTCGCCCACCGGTGCCAGCACCAACTTACCGTATGTACTGTACGATAATGTTACTCCCTAGCTAGCCACGCACGCCCTTCAAGCCCAGAGTAACAGGGATCAATTATGATACATCCAACATCCATCTATCCAACCATTTCTTAATCACCCTCATCAATTGCCTAGAAGATATTCATGCCAACTGCCTTTTGAACTTGATGAATCTCAAAAGTCGTCATCCTCGCAAGAAAAACTTTTCCTCTCTCATGCACGGATGCATGGATTAGATGCATGCAGCCACCACAAACCACTCTCTCTAGTTTAATTACGGCGGCTGTCGAGCCCAGAACCAGGCTTGTAATGTGAACCACTCCGGTCCGATCAACGGACAAACTTTCCCATCTAACCGCGGTGATACGCCGGTTTCTCCTCCATCTTACAGGTCCTTCGCCGGATGGGATGGGCAGGGATGTGAGAGGTTTCTGTCCTTTTTCTCTAATCCTTGCTACAGGTTGTGGATAATGGGGTGAGATATACGGATACAGTAAGCAAGCCTTTATTATTGTATTGCAGGGGGTGGTGAGGTTCGTGAGGTGGAAGAGTCTATTTCGACGGAATATCTCACGTCCCTGCTGGAAAGGTAAGTTGTTCTGATACGGACCATCAGTTCTCCTGGCCCGTCGGTGGACGGGTAAATTGGATTCCAGGTGTGATGAATCATGGACAGACAACCCATTTTGTGGTTGCTGGTCTGTCTTGTCTGTTCTTCAGTCGTGCCGAGTCCGGGTATTGATGGGTAGTACGTCGTAGGCTGTATTGAGCGGTACAGGAGTGCTGTATGGCTGTGACGGGTTGGATACGGGCCTGTGTATTTCGGGTTGGATGGGCTGCCAGGCGGAGAAGGTTTGCCGGGTGTTGATTGGGGAGGTTGCCTGAGGGATTGTTATTGATAGATATTCCATGTGGATAGCACTTGGGTTTGAATGTAGCTGTAGACAATTATTGGAGGTGTGATAAATAAAACGACTTATAGTCAATACCGTGCGTATTACTTGATAGCAGTTGGAGAGTTTGCTTTGATCTCCGAGGGAGCTAGCTCGAAACTGCTCAGACGAGGTATATATCTTGATGCCGGAGGTCTCTGCAAGGCGCGATATCGAAAACAACTCGCTCAATAGAAGCTATTCGATCTCGGCCATCTTGCAGGACCTGCTTTATGCTCTATACTAGACCTACGAAGTCCCCATCTACACAACTGATCAAGATAATTCCCTCTCAAGCAGTTTGAGACATGGGACTTCATTGAGTCACGTGACATTGCAATGCCTTAGGCAGCACTGACTTGGACATCTTCCCCGCGGTCCACCTGTCGTCTGCCATCACCCACATCTCCATCTTTTGTCCGCCCGTGCCACGTTCTTCAACTTACTTACCGCAAAGACCCAAGCCAATCAAGCTCGACGCTCTGACTCTATGGCCTCCCCTCTTTCCCGCTCATCATCGACTACTCTCCAAGCCTGTCCGCGCGGTTAACTTTCCCAACACCGATTTCGAACTTCAATCAACATCAAACCTCGACCGAGACCTGGGCTGAAACAGCACAATTGGACCGGTTGGTCCAGATGTACCCACCCGATGATTGAGGATCCATTCCAAACCGCACAACCCCTCGATAGCACCCGCGAACTCGGTTATTCGCTCCCGAGAGCTTATGTCGGAATCGTTAAGAATAGAACACAACGGGAAGATAATGGCGAGAGCACGGCATGCATCCGGGGACACTGGCGGCTATGCTGGGGGAGGAGTGCGACTCGCAGTCGGAGATGCCATGCTGATGTACGAAGCATGGCTTCTCGCGCGCCGACAAGCTTGGTCGTAGTGGCACCGGCGGCTCAATGCGTCTCCTCTACTGCGTGGATGCACCCGTGAAGTATCCAGGATCGTAGTGATGTACTGGCAGGAGGACTGGTAAAGCACCTAGGCGTAGGGAGCAGTTCAGCTGGAAGGAGAGCGAAAGTGCCGCCACTTGGAGTAGGAGTAGGAGTAGGATCAGGACTTATCAGTACATCATGGTAATTTAGAATCTGGAACCATGTAGATGTGTACATGGAGCTCCAGACCTTGCCCTGCGTTAACGCCTAACAGTCTTACCAGACTTGAATAGGCTCATCTAAGGTCATGCCCGATTTATCGATACATCGGACCCTTCATCTCTCACTATTGGCCAATAGCGCATTCAGTTACAACCAAAGACATCCTATCAACCAGGGAGCCTATCCTGCAACTGATGGTTAAGTTTGAAATTCGATCTTCGGTGCTGCGAAGTCACAATTCGAGATATCATCACTCGAGACATTGCTGAGTGATGTCAATACATTTCCTCGATTTCATCCAAGCCAATTGAGTGAAGTTACCTTTTCCTATAGATTGCTCATTGTGCATAATTCTCAAAACCCGAGCATAAAGCAGAGCACGTGACTTATACACCCAATTGGCTGCATAACTTGGGCTACCACGGATGATCACCTTCCACCTTCGTCTCGACCTCAATGCCAGTCAGACACGTCCGATCAATTCTTCGAAGAATGTGGCTCAAATGTCGGATCACAGTCATCTGAGCTCGGCGGAGAAGAAGCGCCTCCGCGATCGGCGGGCGCAGCAGAATTCTCGAAGTAAAAAGTTGCAGTATCTCAGTCACCTCGAAGATCGCATCGCACGGCTCGAAGAGCAGGTTGCTCACTGTCGGCAACAACACACCGATGAAGGCGCCCAACAGCGATCTGAAGAGATAGAGACTCTCCGGAGGCAGAATGCATCTCTTCTTGCGCGTCAACGACAGCTGAAAAGTCTCCTGCAATCCTGGGACATCGATGCGCTGACGTCTCCGGAAGCTCTCACCGGACCGGCTTATACCCCCGAGGCGCCCGAAGTCGAGAACCAGCGTCCTCCTATACTATCGCCACCACCGCCGATAGCAGTTTCCCGCAGCTTGATAGACCCCTTGGAAGCTAGTAGAAGAACTCTACCCATCCCGCCGATCGCTCCAATCCTGCCACCGCTGCCGCCACTCGCAGCAACTATCAATTACGCTCACGACTCTACAAACCCACTAGAGCCACTCTGGAAACGCATTCCACTCACCAACGACGACCCGTCAGCCCCCTACATGACTTGGGTAGCTTACCAGGAGCAGATCAGAGCATCCCCGGACTCCCCCGCCTCTCCGCTGGATCTCCTGTACGGCTCCAAGACCAACGTCCTAGCAGACCTAGTCTACCGCACCACGAAGCGACGGCCGCTGCGCGACCCCGAGCGCCTGGCCTGTGGGTGGCTAGCCTACCACCTCCTCAAATGGATGTACTCTCCCAGTCCCAGCCGATTCGCTCGGCTGCCGACCTTCATGCACCCGAACCCTGACCAGATAAACATTCCCCACCTTGGGTCGATCGACCTCATGATCTGGCCGCAAATCCGGTCCAATCTGATCCGTCGTTGGCAAATTTACGAGGGTCAGCGTGACGATCTCTTCGGGTTCCTGGCCTGTTGTCTGAAAGTTCGCTGGCCGTGGGGCGAGAGTATCCTCGAACGCGACGATCAAGATCAACTCCGTATCCGACGCAGCTTCTACGAGACGTTCATGACCATCGAGGGATGGGGACTCACCCCTGATGTCATTCGAAGCTACCCCAGTATTTTGACGGGGGTTGACCTGCAGTCTATTGTGTATGAGGTCCTGTGATTGATGAACGAATGGTATTAATAAGTCGAATCTATTCTATATGGGAACAACGGAAGTCTATCAAAACATGTTAAGCAGGTCATTGCATCGTCTTTGTGGCCACGGCTCATCAATCCAAGTCAACCGGAAACCTCTCGCGGATCATCTTGCCGTATCGGGTGAACAGCAACGGGACCGGCACAAAGGCCAAGGCCAGGAACCCCAACAGCGAGTTACCCCATCCGATGCCCATGTTGCGGAACATGGTAGGGCCTGCCAGAGGTAACAAAGCGCCCATCAGCGATCTCGAGGCCGTCATGGTGGCGTTCGCGGAGGCCGCATAGGCCGGGTATGCGTCAATGACATAGGTCTGGACGGGCATCCAGATGCCGAGCATGCCCACACCGAAGGGAATCATGCCGATGATGGGGACGATCCAGTGGACTTTCTGCGCGTTCTCGGCCGACCAGCCGTACCAGAAGAAGGTGATGGGGATGATGCAGCTGAAGATGATCATCAGCGGCAGACGCATCTCGGGCTCGAACTTGCCGCCGTTCTGAGCGGTCAGCTTGATGACCATGCGATCGTTGGTCAGTGATACCGTCAACAGGCCGATAAAGAACCCGACGCCGATGCCGATGTACGCGAGGCCCGCGAGACCGGTCGAGAAGCCATACCGCTCCTCGAAGACGGAGGTCACGGTGGTGAAGAACAGATACAGCAGACTGTATACGAAAGCGATGTACACGGAAAGAAGGAGCACAATAGGCGACTTGCAGAACAGCACCACGGGCCGTTTGAGTCCCTGCGCCAGAACCCGACGGGCCGAGGGCGGTGCCTGGTGCATACTGCCGGTTACGTCGTAGACGCTGCGAAGGTCGACCCTATCCAGCTCCTTGGCCAGCCGCGCCGTCTTCCATCGGATCAGCAGCGGCGCATACGTCTCCTGGTTCAGGACCTCGATCCCGGCCGAAATAACCGCACCGCTGATAATCAGGAGGTAGAAGACCCAGCGCCAGCCGATCGTCTCACCGACGAAACCACCACAGATAGGGCCAATGATGGGCCCCACGAGAGGCCCCATGGCCCAGATGGCGGTGGCCCGACCGCGCAGCTCGGTTGGAAACAAGTCCGCGATGACTCCGGCGCCCAGAGTCACGCAGCCCGAGCCGCCGATGCCGGTGAAAAAGCGCGACACGATGAGGGTGGTCATATTGGGGGCGCGGGCGCAGCCGATCTGCCAGACGACGAAGAACCAATTCGCGCCGCTGAGGACGACCCGACGGCCGTAGATCTCACTGAGCGGGGCGAGTAGCAGAGGGCCGAACTGGAATGGATCAGTTTTCTGAGTGCGTCCGAGGGGGGACAAAAGCATCCGACATACCACGAACCCGAGCAGGAAGATGGTTACGCTGAAGGAGAGCAAGGTCTCGTTGGTGACCATGAACTCCTTGGCCACGAACTCGATCGCCGGGGAGAACATGCTCGACGCGAGCGGCGAGATGAAGGTGATGGAGCTGATGAGCGCCAGCAGGGTCCACTTCTTGGAGGCGGGGAAGTTCTGGGGGTTGGCCGGGTCATCCTGGCTATCCCACCCCACGAGCCCACGCGAGAGATCTGTAACGGGGAAGAGGGTCTTGAAGTCCTCGGTGGTCGATGCGGTCTCGGGCTTTTCGTGTAGGCGTTGGAACTCTAGGTCGTCCTTCTTCATGGCTGCTGCTGAGCCGGGGTCGGAAGTAGCCCACCGAGGAAAGAAGGATGTAGTACGAATGTGAAGAGGATTGTTAAAAAGGGGGGTTATCAGATGTGAATCAACAGATGCAAGTCCGTAACCTGTTGATTATCGATTGAAGGAACCGCTGGTGCAACGGGAAGAGCAAAAAAGCAAATAGCAAGTCATCCAAAGACCCTGCAGGCCGGAGAGTATTTAACCTAGTCATAGCTTATTGCTCCCCCCCCCCGTCTGCCTCACCATGTTTAACGCTCAGCAGGGAGTCCCAGCCTGGCCCCAGAGCAATACGAAAAAAAACCCCACCTCTGCCATCATTAAGCTGTCCAGACCCGAGAGCATGGCTGAGTTGAAAAGTGGGTTCATGGGGAATGTTTTGGGCACTGCTAGTGCTGACAAGGCGGCCGCAGTAGCCGATTGGATCAGCCGTTTTGGGGAAATCATGCGCGATGATGATGATGGTGATGATGGTGGTGGTGGTGGTGGTGGTGGTGGATGCTGATGACATGAGATAGCGTGGTCCTTATTCTCTGCAGGGATTGTTTGTTGCCTTGTGGTTCGTTTGGGTTATAGGTATATTTCAACGTAACCGGATTGGAATAGACTAGACACCTATCTACTGGATGAATGTAGAGCGAACAGACACAGCCTCGGGATCCTGTGATGATCACGCTATACGGGGTATGTTGTTTTTGTCTAGGTGTCACGATTTCCGTGATCATGATCCGGGAATGCGAATTAGGGCAGGGCAGGAGGGTGAGAAGTGCTCGCTCACTCAGCTCGGCCCCATTCCGGGCAGAGAGCAAGCAAGTAAGTAAGTAAGCACTACTCTTATTTTCTATATTCGTAGGTAGATACGGTATTTCGGACGAAGACGGCGATATTAGCCTTGATTCCCCTTCACCTGATCTTTGGCCACTCAGGGGTTTGTGTACTGTAGAAGTAAACATGTTCTGGACCTGTTCCTTTTTTCATCCCGTCGAAGAAAGGAAATTCTTGCCGGCGATGCGGCAGTCAGAAACGAACAAAAAGGCTAAAACCACCGACGACAGAGGGGCAAGGGGAAAAGAAAAAGCTTCGAGCATCAAGCTCCTACGCCTTCCCGCTATGGAACTTTGGATTGAATGAAGCAGGAATTTGTCGGTGAACAGTACCTACCATACACGGAGTACACGAGGCTGTGATGCACTCACTAGTATAACTTAGCGATTCCTTTGGTGGTAATCTGCCCCGGCAACGGACAGTACGACAGTACAAGCAGAGCTGAGGGCGCGGCTCTTTCTCGCGATCCACTTTTGTGTCTGTGTGTGTGTGTGCAATGGGATGGGACTACGGAGTAGTGTTTGGGTGTTTGCTGTTTAGTCCGGCCTAAGCCACGTTGTTTATTGTCCCTGGTAGTTAGTGGGATAGTCTAGTGGGAAGTGTAGGGGAGTTCAGCCTTGTTGTTATTTTTACACCTTATAGGTGGGTGGATGGGTGGGTGATGATGGCTCTTCGTCGATTTTACCCGAGCCAAGCATTGTGGGATGATTTTGCTAGGTACTAACTTAGTAGTTGGTTCTGGTCTGGTGGCGGTGTGAAGTGCCGTAGGCACTCGACGGGATCGCATACCTGATCTTGAGGGATGTGGCGTGCTGAATCGTGGTTTGCATTATGCTGGTGTGGTTAGTTTTACCTGGTGACTCTGGTGACAAGTCGTGTTGTCTGTGTTTGGTTTGGTTTGTTGTTTGTTGGCGGGACGGAGATCCGACCGACTGCTTTTTGTTCTACGCGTGAGTATGCTTCATAAGTGCGGCCACATTAAATATAAATACAAAAATCATATGCAGTTTACTTATCATCCTAATCAATATACTATATACGATAGATATCGAGGCTATAGTTGGAACAACAGCAGTGGGGTTTCGGGGTAGGTTCTCTGAAAATAGCAAGTTTAGTTTGTCGGCAGTAATCTCCCCACCAGCATACATCCGCTCAATTGACAGGCAGGGGGGTTTATCCGGTGATCGATCGGTCCATCGGTCCCTCGGGATTAGGAACTACTTTTAGGTTCATTTTTTCTGGAAGAAAGTCATAGTTAACTTAATAGAGAGTCAATCCATATGCCAGTTAACTCAATAAGGGAGATGATGTGAGATACGCTGGTTGGACTTGTGGACTTGAATTTTGCCTGAATCATGTGGAAGTGCTAGGTACGGCGGATTCGACTGAATCTATGACGTGGCATGGATTGTACAGGGTACCAGTGTCTGAGGGAGGCTGATGCTATTGCTGGTGCTCTGCTAGTCAGTCTGGGCGAGGCTGCTGGCCGGCGCATCTCGGCTACTCTTTCCCGAGTTCTATCGGGTAGGGTTTCGGGGTGGCCGAAAGTCACGGGAGGGGTTTTATAGTGCCAGACAGATTTCATGCATGAGATGATGCCTGGCTTGGGCCGATCGGATTTCGCCTAACTTGGGTCGAGAGAAGGGTTTATGTGCTAGTGGGTATGGGATAGTTATAGGTACACGTACAGAGGTATTCTGCACACTGTAGATACCATGGACGGACGGTCCAAGTACGTGCATGGAATAGTAGAAACTACAATCATGCTCAGTGTCACTACCGACCCACGACCCAGCGCTAGCTAACTGATAATCCCCCCCCCCCCCGACCTCAGCTCAGACCTCGTATTGCCGCGGAATTAACCGCACGGGCAACGCCTTCTTCATCCAAAGCGATGTAGTCCGCTGATTGGCCCACCCTTCCCCTCCCGGCATCAACTCCGCATCAAAGTTCCAGAACAATTTGCTCACGATCAACTGCAGCTCCGCATACGCAAGACTAAGCTTTCGTTAGAACCTCCCTCTATCAAACGAATCGAAACAGGTGGCACCTACTTCCTTCCCAGGCAATTCCTGGGCCCGTAAGAGAATGGATGAAACGCCCCGCGATCATCTTTCGCAAAACGCGCATCATCCTCGCCGGCCATCCATCGCTCCGGCCAGAACGTGTCCGGGTCGCTGAAGTTACGCGTTGATCGGTAACACGCCCAGTGGTGGAGACCAACGGACGTTCCCGCGGGGACAAACCGACCGCAGATTAGTTGTCCCGGGGCCGGGGTGACCCGGGGCAATATGCCGGGCACGGGAGGATACATGCGAAGCGATTCCTCGAGCACAGCGTGGAGATACGGGAGCTGGGCGGCGCGGTGGACGGTGATGTCCCGCTCGTCGGAAAAAGCCGCACGAATCTCCTGTGTCACCCGCGACAATGCGCGTGGGGTGGTGAGGAGATAATACATCGTGCCCGAGAGAACGGTGGCGGTGGTTTCGCTGCCCGCGATGATAAGGGTCTGGCCTTGCGTGACCATCTCTTCGAAGCTCAGGCCCTCGGGGCCTATGGCCGAGCGAGAGCCTTTGAGCATGTAGTGGACTGTTGGAGCCTTTATTAGCGTGAGGTCAGGAGAAAGAGTGCAGCTCACGCACCAAAGTCCTGTCGTTCCGTCTTGTGCTCAACTCGACGGGACAGCTTGCCCTTTGCTAATTGATATATGTATATACGGTCCTGCTGAAGGTGTCTCGGTGCCCAGAGCGAAGCCGCCCAAAGGCTCCACGGAGACGGCAACAGATACTTGGCGGCGCGGAAGTAAACCAGTACGTCCATCAGTCCGGTTATGGCGGCGAGGTAGCGAGACCAAACGCCCTTATACAGTAGACCAAACGTGTCCCCGAAGGCTAGGTCACCGATAATGTCGAACGTCGTAAAATTGAACCATTGGACGATGTCCACCACACTACCTCCGGCTTGATCAGCGTGGTGATGGAGTTGGCGAATGAGAAGGTCGACATAGTGTTGAAGGGCTGGCTCTTGGGCGCGAAGAGCCTTCTCGGAAAATGCATGCGATAGGAGACGTCGAAGACGTCGGTGGTAGTCGCCGTTGGCTGCTACCTGCATTGCAGAAATTCTCCACAGTGGTTAGGGCAGGAGTCACAAAAGAAGACGGAGATAGACGTACGACACTCCACTGCCCGTTTGGTGGACGGGTAAAAAAGTCTTGATCTTTCTCAAAGACAGCTTTGGTATCGCGAGTTCGGTGGCCTGACGCAGTGTGAGAGATGAACAGGCGGGCTATGTGACTGAACCAGACATACCGCAAATCTCGTTCCAGGCCTGACCGGAATTGTATGACAAGCTGTCGGGCGCGATGCGGACCACCTCGCCGTACTGGTCGTGCCATTCCTTGATTCGAAGATGGAGGCATCCCCGGAGCTCGAGGAGCACCATGTAGAGCCTTGTTGCTCTAGCAAGTATTGGCCCTGGATGAGATCGAAGCGGATGCAAATAGACATTGTATACAAGTTTGGCACCGGTAAGTATCCCGATAATATAGAAGATAGCCTGGGAAAAACTAGTCAGTCGAGGAAGAAGCTCAATCACCGAGAGATACCTACGAAGAAATTATGCGAGAAGGACCAATGAGAGAGGGGCGCAACCAGAAGGTTCTGGTTATTGTGGACTTCTCTATTGGCCTGTAGAGAGTCCATGGCTGAACAGCGGAACGAAGTCCGACTTCCCTTAATCTACGCAAAAGTGCCTGAGGATCCTTGCTCGGTGTTCCGATAAAGGTCCAAGATTTGCGAACGAGATGATTGTCGGTACGTTCAAATACCTCTGATGCGTGACCAGCGTAAACTGAATACCGAGGGTTGATAACGCAATAAAGACTCTGTGCACCACCGGTATAGACTGATTGTAGCGCGGCGATACAAGGTAATTCAACTCCCTCTAGCGACAGCAGAGAGCCGTGAGAGAAGAGATGTCTCGGTCATTCTTATATAGCTCTCTGACTGGCCAATATCCCATCTTCCAGTCGGATAGGTCGGGTGTCCAATCGATCTAGGAGTCTGCGGTGAACGCGCAGGAATGCATGGTGACTCTGGGGAGAGCTGCTTCATGCATTATGGCCGGTGGGTTGTCCGAAGATCATCTCAGACGGCCGTGCATAACGTAGATTTGTGCACGATTTGTGTATGAGCATCGGCCATAATGCGCGTTTGTGCTGAGGGATCTGCACTCTTTCGGGAATATTGGAAGCAAGGGATGCTGGCTCTTTGGGCATGGGTTCGTGGTCTGGTCTGACGTAGCTACAGCCAGAATCGTCTCGTCAGTGAGATGCACATCCCATAGGTTTGGATTTGATGAGATAGATTGTACGTAGTCAGGGTCATGCATTCTCTGCTTCTGAAGGTGGTTTTGGTGGTTGCTGGAGGCCGTGTCGTGGACAACAAACGAGTTTGTGGAGGGAGAGGCTGTTGCGAGAAGGAAAGGTTGAGAGGGAGTGTAGCGGGCCGAGGGTGGCGTCTTCTATGCGGTGGAAAGCCTAAGCCACTGCAGGACTCCGGCGGCATGGGTATGGAACTTCTTTGGTCTACCATATAACCTACTTGCTAAAAGTTCTTTTATTTGCAAAGTTATATTTAGCTTCCTGAGCCGTTGAGTATTCAACTCGAAAGTCTACTCCTG